TTTATGAGGTATTCCTACAATGGGTCGGGGGGGGGGGGGGGGGGGGGGAGTGGCTAACTCTTACCGTGTCAGTATACCTGTGTCGATCCTTGGCCCGCTAAACTACACCCCTCCCAGGGTTAGGTTTGATATCTGTCATGTACACATTACTTAGCAAGTTGCAATGATTTACTGTTTTATTTCTGTAATTCTTTAAAAAGTGACAGGGGCCTCTGACGATGTCTGGGTGCCTCTGCAGATCCCTGACCCGTTAAACTGGACCCCAACCTGGGTTACTTTCTATGACGGTTAGGTAACCATTACACAGCAAGTTGCAATAGCTTAACCGTTTTGTTTCTGGAATTTGTTCAGAAAGTACTGGGGAGTGCCAGCAAAAGAGAACTTTAATGGACCCTTAATCGTTGGTCCAGCGATGGTGACTTATATGCGCTGTGTGCCTCAGCCCTCGACGACCCCTCTCTGATACTTTATGTGGTCTGTCACTTCATCACTGTTCCTAAACGCTTCCATTTTCCAATAATACCACTTACAGTTCACCATGGAGTAATAAGCAGGGAAGAAATTTCATGAAATGACTTACGGCAAAGGTGGCATCCTATGACAGCACCATACTTGAATTCACTGAGCTTTTCAGAATGATCTGTTCTTTTACAAATGTTTGTAAACCTGACTGCATGGCCAGGTCCTTGATTTTATACTCCTGTGGCAATGGGTCTGAATGAAACCCCTGAATTCAATGATTAAGAGGTACGTCCCAATAATTTTGTCCATATAGTGTATGTGTTGAGTGTGAGTTGTAGGTTAACTGTGGAAAAACGTCTTTTAGTCACCCAGTTAACCCACAACACGCCCACTATACAGGAGACTCGCAGATAGAATATTGTGATTTTTATTAGCATTTGTGAGGAATGGGCAGATTAACTAAGCGACATGCAAAACAACATTACATGAAAATTGCTTGCTTTGTAAAGATAATGCAGAGAACAGTGTGAATCAGAGGTGTACAGATGTGGGGACTGGGTGGACATACTGACATTCTCTGATGTGTGTTGTGTGCCCTCCATGGAGAGATTAAGACCCATGGCAAACATCACTGAAAACACTGAAGAGAAATACAGCCAAACATCTTATTTTTCTGTCAGATCTATTGTGTTTTGTCAGCTGAAAAGCTGCCTAAACTGTATACTTGGGGAAAAAAATTGTGCTTGGGAACATGATCTCCCTTCCCTTGAGAAACAATCTGTCCCAACGGTGTTCTAAAATGGAAAGAAACCAAAAACATACACTCACAGCTGGCCAAAACAGAAGAAAAATGCAAATAATGCCAGCTGTTCGGTCAATGTTAAAATAACATTCAATAGAGTTGCAGACAGATGTCCTTCACTGGAGGGCAAATATTTCAGCTTGTCTTCTCATTATTAATATTATATATTACTTATATATACACAAGCTATCACAATATGGGACACTCAGATATACCAATTCAGCTTACAGCATGTTTTGGACTGTGGAAGGAAACGCTTTGTAAACAGAACTCCACAGGTCCAGACTTTTGTGGAGATCAAACCCCTAACCCCAGGGAGATGTTAGGCCAAAGCCTCACTAAGAAGAGTATCAATAGTAATGCTTAAACACTGCATGAGGTGAATTTTATTTCATATATGATGTCATCTCATTTTCTCACTGCTTTTCCTGGTGAAGGTCACAGATACGGCATGCTCAGCAGGTCACAACAGACCCCCTTCTCCATGGCCAGAGACTCCAGCTTGCTCTGGGGGATCCCTACGCATTCCCAAGCCTGCTAGGAGATACTACCCTTCCAACATGTTCTGGGACGTCCCCAAGGCCTTCACCCTGTTTGGATCTATCCATGTGGCACCTTTGTGAGATTTCCAAACCATCTCAACTGCCAGTACATGGACGATTTTTAGAATGTAGTGATTTAGGTTATATGATTATTCATCTGCCAATAGCTGCAGAGCCAGGAAGTCAGGCGAACGCCCTTAATGGCATGCTAGTCCATCACATGGCACACCCACATGCTAGTCCATCACATGGCACAACCACCCTCACATGCTCTATGGGCAATTCAAAGATGCAAATCTGCCTGACTGTGGTTTTGGACTGCAGAAGGAAAGCAAAGTACCTGGAGTAAAGTCATGAAGAGAACATGCATACTCCAAACACAGAGCATAGATAGGGGACTCGAATCACCAACACTAGAGATGGGAGGCAAGTTATTACAGAAATAAAAGTGACTGTTTGCAAGAGATGCAAAAGGTGTATTTTTGTTCAAATGGTACAGTTATGCAAATAAATCACTTTTATGCACATATACACGTGGACAGTATACAAAATAACCAAATGTGCACCTGCAAAATTGTACATGTGGAATTGTTCTACACAGGTATAAGTAATTTAGTGATACTTTGGGTTGCTAGCCAGAATGTCATATTAACGTCCTATCAAAAAAAATAGTATTCAGTATTCAGATCATTTTATTTCTCCCAGAAGAGTAATTCAGATCCATAACCAACCCAGTTCACATACTGTAAATAAAACTCAATACAGAACAACAGTAAAACATTAATATGCCACAGACAACAGATCAGCATATGGATACAAGGACACAAGCAGTGGATTCACTCTGATCTGTTCGATCTGAGTGAGAGAAGAAAAATGAATGAATGAATAAATGAATGAACAAACAAATAAAAAGTACAAAAAAGGAACAGAAGAATGCACTTTGTAATATTAGTATTATGGTTTAAAGGGCATAGTTATCATCTAATATGACTACTGTCCGCATTAAGCAGCCTGATTGCAGAAGGAATGAAGGACTTGGAGTAAAGATTGGTTTTCCTGAAGGGAGCATAATACCAGTGAGCTGAGGGCATTAGACTGAATTCACTACGCAAAATGCGGTCAGATTTACTAAGAATGCCTTTTGCTTTCTGAGCTACTTGATTGTCCCAGAAGGAGCACAAGTCCCTCTGCTGGACTCCAATAGTTTTGGAGTAAAACTTGACAATGCCATTTAGACTATTCTTGACTTTCACAGAAAACCCATTGAACCAACAAATGAATGAGAATGTTAAAAGACTTTCAGTAACTGAGTGTTAAGTCCTAGCTAATCCTTATTTTCCATCCTTGACGTTGATGGGAATTCACAAGAGTTCAACGGACGGTCACTGGGGGGCGGCATTGTGAGCTTTGAGCGCCTTGTGTCGGAGTCTCCACGCATCTTGCGGTGAGGTTTTGTAGCGCTGGCTGCTCGACAATTAGCACATATGTGGAAGTTTTTTTTTAATTTTCCGCTGTAACTATCCAATATTTGGTTAAACTGTTCGTCTTAAAAATATGTCTCAGGGTTTCGAGATGGGTTACAATGAAATGTGCGAAAAGACACAGTGTATAATTCTTACATGCTTTCTTCGCGTGTAAGTTACAGTTGATTTTTTTTTTATAATATATAGAAAGTTTCGCAGATGAACACACAGGTTTTATCTTGACTATGTTAAGACCGCAGCACGTTTGAAAAATGTGTATATATGTTAAATGACCTCCCGCCCCTCCTCTGTGTGGGAGTTTGCATGTTTTCACAGTGTGGTGCCGGTTTATTTCGTTGAGCGCCTGAATGGGTGGGAAGAGCCGTTTGCACGGGACCAAGTCACGGGCCGGCCCTTTTACAATGCCGAGGTGAAGAGACTGCCTTTGTTTTGCGCGGATGAACGAAGCTGTGCTGTAAATAAAACCGAAAAATGGGTTATTATTATTATTATTATTATTATTATTATTATTATTATTATTATTATTATTATTATTGTATATCTTAAATGAAGACCGGTTTAATTCAGTCATCTACCATACGAATTTTTCGGTGTTAATGGCCTACACCAATGGTTACACCAGAGGGCGCCATTTATCCTCTGTGAACTTACGCGCCTGGAAAATGAGAAACGTTTTGTCTAATATAAAGCATATACTCTTATTAACCATATATGTCGATGTGTGTCTTTCTGTATGTTAGTTGAATATTTTAGTCAGAAAGTGTGTTTATAAATTTAGTAATACAGAGCTCTGTTAACACGGTAGACTGGGAAGCAAATTCACCTCTCGAATTTATCCTTAGAAAATAAAATATGTTTGAAAAACAGAAATAGAATAGGTATAATTTCTGTTTTATGTGGTTACAAATAGGTAGTACTTTTTATTTTTAACCACAAGAATTTGTAAGAATTATTAGAGAAAAAAAAAATGAGAATAAGAAATTATTCTCAACAGGAAAAGAGGTTATTGCAGTAGGTTTGATTTATTTCTGCTGGAGGTAAAACAGTGTCCAGTAGTGAGGCTGTCTAGTATAAAATGAGATATTCCTGTAAATATAAGGTCCACACTCGCGTCCCCAAGGAGTCATTTGTGGGTCTGATCAACAACAGACTCATTTTGAGCCTGACTGACACTGCACTGCTCTACCTGTCTTAGAGATGTTGGGACCCTGTGATGTGGTGAGGACCCACTGAGGTTTCCTGAGATCGCTGAATTGTTGACCGTGGTGCAGTACAACTTGAAGGCTTTTTTCCTTCGACACAGGTCGTTCCAGAGTCCCCAGATTGGCTTTAGTCTAGATACCAGCTATCATCTGAAGTAGAAATACTAATTAGGCTGACCTCATTAGAATCGACAAAGAATTTTAGGAATGCATGTTTAAATGAGAAAATCACAAGCGATTTAATGAAGTGGAACTGCGGGCTTCAAAATCGTGTTTGGTTACCCCGGATGACCGGACCATGTGCAGCGTGCAGTTATCAGCCCCCTGTAGCTGTTTTTGGACACGCGTGGGCAGCTGGGCAAACAACCATATGAGATGGGCTTTATTGTAGATGCTCTTTATTCAGGGACAAATGGAGTCGGGGGGCTGGCAGGACAACAAAACAACAAAGACTGTCCAGATACACAAAGAAATAACCACAGCAAAGAGTAAGAAAAAAAGCCTTTATTTATATAGCACCCTTCATACATGAGCTGCAGCTCAGTGCTTCACGTATAGGAAAAAAGATGAAGAATGAAAGAAAAAACAAAGCAGCTACACAAAATAAACAGATATTGTGCATGTCGTTCTGACAGCTGGCTCAGGCATAAACAAAAGCAGAACACGCGACTGCTTTTGGAGGGAACGAGGAACAGGTGGAATAAATAAACGTGCACTATCACTGCCACTTGTCTGTCCCTCATGAGACGGGTGGTGGCCCCGCCCCCCGCCGCGCGTCCCTGTCACAGCTACGCGCTCCTTCCAGCTCGCTGATGATCTGCCGTCCTCAGCTCCGCCCGCCGCTTTCATCCCGGGACCTGGGGCATAATTAGCTGCCTTCTCAGCTGGAGGGGGGGGTGGTGGGAGCTGGCGGAAATGAAGGCCTCAAATTAGCTTTGGTGCTTGTCACTGTCTCTCCCCCCCCAGTGCTTTGAAAATGCAGCTTAATGGAGCAGAGGGAGCGGCAGGGGGCACGGAAGAGGGGTGTGCGGGGCACCGTCGGCCGCCTGAGGAGCGCCGCTTGATGCACCTCCGCGTCTCCCATCAGTCCCATCGGTCCGATCGGTTCCCGTATCCCTGCAGCTTCTTCACGCCATCTTGACTCGGTTTACAGCCCTCTTGCTAATTTGCTGCTCTCGCCTATTTTTTGTATCTTTTAACGGATGCCTGATGCATGTCTGCGTGCCGGATATAGTGCAGTCCACAGTCCTCCAGGGCTTCGTGCTCAGTGTAGCCAGTAATAATGGCTATATCATGCTGACAGAAGCCCCCCGGCCTGGGGAGAGCGGGAGAGGGGCTGGGAGCCAACCCGGGGCTCTGCTCCAGAGCACATTACCAGTGTGCTCCTGGGCACATGTGTGTGGGAAACGTGAGGGTCTTCATCTGTCTGTCAGCGCTGATTCTGTTCAGTAGGTGTCAGGGCAGATGGGGCTTTTTTTTTTAGACTGTTTTGTGTTTATGATTTTCTCTGCATGTGGTTCCAATGAGGGGGGATCTGTGTTCTATATTACCTGCAAAGGCCACTGGAGGTAGGCATGGGTGTACCTAGAAATTCCGGGCTCCCAAACAAAACTTCAGCTGGAGGCCCCTGCCCAAGTTTATGTATGGTGTTATGTATTTAAGGGCCCCTTTTAAGTGCTGGGCCCCCTGAATCTGCCCAGGATAGCCACGCCCCTCTGACCCTCAACCATAAACCTCAGTGATGATTATTATAACTGAGGAGACCTCAGACCTCATCGTTCACTTTTGTGTTTCACCAAGTGTGTATGGTGAGGCTCACTGCCTTCCTTCATTGTATGTCAGCTGCGGTCCTGTGCCACTTGGACCCGCCACTTTCTTGCCCGCATGTCCACGTCTTTAAAGTCTCTCTCCGTCTCCTTTCCCTCAGAGGGCCCAGTCCCTATATCTCATGGATCTCTTCACTATTCCAAAGAACGAGTTTTTCACAGACTCTTGTCAGTTATGGTAGCTTTGGCCCTTTTTCCCCGCGCTGACCATCTATCAACGCCATCGTTGATGTGCGCCCCCGCATGTATCCGAAAGCCAAACAAGCCCTACAAAAAAGTTGTGTTTCTGTGCCAGATCGCTCAATACCCATTTGGTGCCCGATTACTGAGAAGGGATGACGCACCTGAACAGACAGGCGTTTTGAAATAAGAAAGATTCTTTTCATTTTGAAGATAAAAATGTGCCTGTAGAAACAGCTCTCATCCATCATCAAACTAAGCCTGGTGGGAAAACAGGTGACTGATTTTATAGATGTGCCACAAGGTGGCAATAATGCACAAGAAATTTTGGCTGCTACCTACTTTCTTGGCCTCTAGAGGGAGACTATCATCCTTTTGTGCACAGTCCTAAAAAGTCTTTTTTAAGCAATGAATTAATCTACAAATGTGTCAGGGTGATGCATTTATAAATGGGAGCGATTATTTGGTGCAGACGAGACCTCGAAACAGCTCCTGTTCCTCCCGTGTCCCTCTTCTCCATCGTGCACGTCTCATCCAGTTCACAGCGCTGACTTCTGCCTCTTCCTCACACGTTTCTTCTCTCGCTTTCTCAAACACTTCCTGTCTCTGCTGTCAGTGCAGAAATAAGAGGATCACAAGCGAGGGATGGGGAGGGGGTGCATGGGGGGGGGTGCATTCTGGTTCTTCTCGTCAGTGTAATCCACTCTGCTGAGCCAGACGCCTTCCCTTGACTTCTCGTTCTGCTCGTGGCAGTCGGCGTGTGTTAACGGAGTGTCCGTGTCAGGGTTGAGTCAGTGGCTTTGAGGGAACACTTACAAATGGGTGTTAACTGTGGACGCAGGGTTTCCTGTAAGCTTGTTCCTGGAGTACAAGGCCATCCTGGAGGAACAGGAAACAGGGTATGGGATACTTAATACGATGAAATAGATAACACTTTAGTTGACGGGGCACACATTCTTAGTAATAACTCAGTACTAAAATACAAATGAACAAATATAGTTGCTACTTGAGATAAAAGATGCATCACGGTTCATTAATGATGAACAAACATGAGATCAGTGTTTTGTGTTATTCATGACTTGTTCCTTCAGTAGTTCCTTAGTCGTTCCTTCAGTAGTTCACAAAGTTCTACAGGATTAACAGATATAAGTATAGTAACTGCTTTGGATGAAAGATGCATCATGATTCATTAATGATGAACAAATATGACCAGTATGTAACTAAGGCTTAGTTTAATACATAGGTAATAGTATAATGCTATATTATTAGTGCCCCATCAAGTAAAGTGGTGAAGCGTTACCAAAAACAAATTTGACACGCATTTGTCCATAGTGCTAATAATAGTGAATATCCAGCACCGCTGTGTGATAATGATAGCCTGTATTCAGCTCAGCACCACGCGGCTTTGGTGATGACAGCACCATGCACACACACACACGCACACACACACGCACACACACACACACACACACAGAGGTCTTGAATAAGCATGCTTAGCCCTAACACATGCGTGCAAATGGAGCTTTTTGTGCAAGTCATTGCTTACCATCGTGATTCACGTGGCCTTAGCGTGTTCGTGACCCAGCAGCACTCCGTTCTGGCACCGAAGGCCGCCGGCTCACTGGAGCCCCGCCCACATCCTGCAGGCGACGCCCAGCCAGAAGCCGCCCGAACCAGATGGCACCATAATTATTTCCAGTCATCAACAAGTGCGGCCAGCTGATTAGCCTTTAGCTTCTCTAGCGCTGGGCCAGCAGGTGGGTGCACGCTGAACCTCCTTGACCTCCAAGCCTGCTCGCGTGATTGCCTGCTCGTGACGGCCCCCCCACCCCCAGCAGAGCTGGATTTCCTGCACGACGCCAAGCAGCAGGTGATGCGTCTGGAGTGGTTCAACAGGCGAGATGTTGACCTTTTCTTCTCCCTTGGACATCCATCTTTGTCTCTCTCTCTCTGTCTCTCTCTCTCACACCTGCTCAGGCAGTATCCATGGAGGGTGAGGGGGGGGGTTGGTTTTTCTGATATTTGTGCTCGGAAGAAAGGGCACATCACCCCTGGCCCGTACCAGGATGTGTCTTTCTCTCCCTTGGTCTCTCATTCTGTCATTCCCTCTCTTTTCCTGTCATTCATATTGTTTCGTGCTTGATAGAACATCTCGTACAAACCTGTACGCATTCAAAAACGTAAAACAAGGTATATTTATATGGTTCCCAGAGGGGAAGTGATGTTGCACCAGCCAGGGTCATGTGACCTGAGGTGTTCTCAAGCTTTCTGTTATGGGATGATGTAGAACCAGCAGGAACAACTGGTGAAGCGCTCAAGGGTCAACAAGGTTCAAGGCTGTTGGATGGGTCGGGGGAGGCAACATTTATTTTTGGGATTCTGATCTCCAATGTGGCTCAGTGATGCATGTAAAATATTCTAGTGTGGGTTTGTCTGCTGGTGTATGTGTCTGTGCGTGGGCATGACAGAGAGATGGTGTGTTTGTCACCTCGCTGACCCCTCTCTGCTGCAGCCCTTAACCCCTAGATCCCCCTCATACTGGACGTTGGCACAGACGCCTCCTGGCCCCCGGATTAATCCACACCGTCACGTGTTGAAGTGAAAGTCATTTAGCAGAAAGTGTTCGTCACTTTTCTGCTTTCCTCAGAAAATCTGCAATGCAAGTGCATGACTAAAGGACTTTGAACAACTCCTACACATTCCTGTTCACGCTGGGTACATCAACAATGGAAATGGAAATAACATCTAAGTACAGCTAAGTAAAGTTGCAGATGCCATAATACTATGCATATTTGATGTGGTTTGGAAAGACTCATATCAAGCTTCAAAGTAAGGGGTTACCTGCTGTAGTGCGCACAGGATTTGGCTCCCCCTGGTGACCCAGCGAAACAATCCACCAAAATGCGCCACCATTGTCTGGCTTCATCCTACTTGTGTCAAGTCGGGCTCTGATCCTAAAGTGTGTAAGAGTGAAGAAAGACACCTTACTTAGTTGGTGGACAATGACAAGTGGTTGGCCTCAAAGAAGAGCCTGAATGGCATCAGAGCAGCAGGATGTCTAAGGTTGCCTTGTGATTAACTATTCATTTGGGTTGCAGCCTTAAGCTGCCTGTGCAGCTCATCACTAAGGGACTAAAATAGTCCCAAGCTAAAGGCCAGGCTCAGTGGTGGAGACCCGAGGTTTAAACTAGTAGGTTAGAGGCCAAGAAATCAAATGTTGCTCTTGACGTTTGTGGAAAGCTGAGTGTTTGAAAGAGAGTTATGGGGTATATAGAGATTTACAGATATAAAAATTTCAATCAAAAATCCTGTTTGTGTCCCAACAAGGTAGGAGCAAAATCATCAATGTCTGTAGCTGACAGCTTAATTGGACAATGTCATTGCTGTCACTGCAGATTTCCATGTTACATTTTAGCTAGTTCCATTAATGGGGCTGGGAAATGATTCATCTCATAACTTGGTTTCTTAATATTGGTCCTGGTGACCCAGTGGATAAGCTTGTTTTTGTTCCAGTTGAGCTCTTTATTAGTTATCCTTGACTGAGCTGGAGTTTGGATCACGTGGCAAGTCGCCACGTACTATAATAATATCTTGCAGTGATGGACACTTTGATGAATCATTTACTTTGTCACAGAGAAAAGCGCTTATTTCTGCTTCTGGTGGTTCCTTTATTTGATCAATCCCTTTTCAATAGTCCCTGTAGATGGATGATCTGAAACGCTACCTGGATCAGGCTGGGTCTGTGATCAGAATAGGATCCAAGCTACACAGAACACACTGATGCAGAGGTGTCTAAGAGCAGTGTGTCCACTTCCTTGTTCTGGGGGGGGGGGCTACCACCACTTTGTTGTGCACTTCTGCGTCTGGGGACTGTTTGGGTAGGTGGGGGGGAGGGGTAGGACTTATAGAGATTTATGCGTGGTTGCATACCATTCCAGAGTTGAAAAAGTCATGTTCAAGTTAAGATTAAGATTTTATTTTATAGATCCCAGGGGGAGATTTGGGACATACAGCAGCAAGAATGTAGTCCAAAGACTACAGTACACAAGTTGAATATCAGGAAAACAGAATATTGTAGTATTATAGAAATAAATAAATATTTGCAAATAATATTAACAGACAAACAAACAAATTTTGGCGGGCAGGACAGGAGCAGATCCTGTTCAATATTTTGTTCATGTGTGCAAACAGCTAGCAAACTCACTAGTGTGGACTCAAATAGGGTGTATCTCTGCAATACCTGCTTCCCCTGTTTTGGCCGTTAATGGTCAAAGGGACAGTGTCCTGCAACAGAGTGTCATGCTGTTTCCCAGGCCCTGTCTGACAGCGAATAAGCGTCACAAGGAGAAGCAGGCGGCCTTGTTCCTATTTCTGTAGCCATTTGCCTGGTCGCTCAGGGCCCATCCTCACACAGTACTTTCCTTGAACTTACCCGTGACCCACAAGCCCTGAGTCTGGGAATGACATTATGCCAAGTGTGTGCAACATGATTACAGCTACAGAGCCATCAGCTCTGGGGCCAAGGGTTATAAATATGTTCCCATGTCGGTCTCAGGCGCCGTTTCTATAAAACAACGCAATGTTGAGTACGAGAGATGCACCAAGGATCTGGATGTTTCTGGAGACTCGGAGGGTTTGGGCAGCCTATCTACACACCTGCAGTCATTCAGTAATTGTAGTTCCATCCTTCTTTGAGGAGAGAGAGTCTGGGAGTAGTATTTCCATTCTCGGGGATTTCCCGTTTGTTCATTTTTGGATAGTGAGGAAGCAGGTTATTTGTATGTTTGCCCACCTTGCCTGCCCCTTTGAATCCCGAGAGAGCCAATTAAATCCCTCGTTCCAGTCCCCATATCTCATGGATCTCTCTGCTATTCCAAGGAACGAGTTTTTCCACAGACTGATGTCAGTTATGGTAGCTTTTGTCCTCATTTTTTCCCATGTATGGGCAAATTGACGCTAATGCACAAGGGAGAGGGTAATGGCCCTCAGGGGAAAAGGCACATTTCTGCCAACAGTCTGACTTCCATCACAAAACCATAAGACATGTTTTTATCTACAGTCGGGGTCAGACGGCCAACAGGAAGTAAGCCGTACTAATTCTCCAGCCCCAGAATGCCATAGGAATGCCACCCGGCTGCCCCCTTCTTCAGCAGTGCTTGCATTAACGGAAAAAAACTGCAGAAGCAGCGTAAATAAACCGTGTACTCTTGGACTCGCCACAGGGGCCTGAGTCTGTGGCAGCTGATGGCCTGAAACGAAGCGCTCATTCAGATGGTTGGCCTATTTGCGTTCCAGGTTAACCGCGGCGTGCAGTGATCTGGGTGCATTTACGCAAGGGGCCGCTTACATCGTGCTGTCCAGTTTTGTTCTGCCAGTGTATACAAGCATAACAGTGTGCAGGAAGATAAACCTTAAGTGCTATTTAGCTGGAATTGCTAAGACTTGAAGCAGCTGCTTGAGAAAAAAAAGGTCAAACGCAGTCTTGGTTATGCAAATTAGAGGCGGAACCAAGCTGAAAACAGCATACGTCTGTCCTCACAACAAAACAGAAAGGTGTTTGTTTTTGGACTCAAATAGAGCGCAGAAGCCAACTGGAGCTGCGGCTTTACTGTTGTTACCTTCACCTCGTGCACTTTTTGTCATGGTGTTGCTCTGAGAAATGTCCCTCACCCTGGGGAGTGGCTGGGTGGTGCTTGGTCTCATGTGAGCGCTCAGGAAGCACCTGCAGCAGACAGAGCCAAGGTCTTCAGGTCCCCAGATCAGTTTGTCTTCCAGTTCCGCCCTTGTGGGCCCTTCAAAGCCCAGTTCAGCAGAGGAAACCTTTAGGGTGTCGGTGACAGTCGGTGACAGTCGGTGACTGTGCCACTGTGCCAGGCACAACATGATTGGTCACCGTCAGTGCTGTTTTGGCCAATTTAGCATGTTGAATCGGTGTTAGAGCTAGTCAGCGAAACTGAGCTCTCTGATTGGTCAACCATCTGAATGCGAAGCATCACCGTTAGTCACGCCGGTGTGTTCCAACGCAAATTTTCACAAACGACGGGAGTCGACGGCAGGCGATGGGAGCTGACTGTTCGTCAGTCTTTGTCGGTGCTGCTCTTTTGCCGTCCGCATGGTGTGTATCCAGCTTTATTCTGATCTACTGCCCACTGGCGAAGCTGGGAAGAAATATGCAAAAATACATATTGAATTAAATATGAATACCTACCATAAGCAGTTACTATATTTACCATGTCAGCTGTAACCACCCCTTAATATAAGACATCAGACTATGTTGGTTAGAAAGGTCAGTCTCTGCATCATTTCTTCTCATGTAAAGCAAGCAGTGCAATCCTCTGTTGGACTTCCAGCCTGCACTGGATCCTCCTCATATACAGTATCAGCCTAAATCTTCAATGTCCTGGCCCACTCTGTGGCTGACAGAGCTGATTAATAGCACCCGATTCTGACACTGTCAGACGTAATCCTGCACCGTTTCATCATCGCACGATTTGTTTACGCTTATTTGGTGAGTGACGCATGTGGAAACGTCGCCTGGCGTGGGCTGTCGCCGCTACTGTGCGGATGTGTTGAGTCAAACTGCAGCCATGCCTGCGTTGAGAGAAATGCTAGTGTTGCAGTGACTAGAAAGGGGTTTCATTTTTACAATAGAGGTCAGTAGCCTTCAGTATATAACACTTTTTGTATTTTACTTACCTCAAAAGGAAGACCATGAGCCGTAATGAAGCACTGACTCCTAGAATGAGGCAGGTAATCATGGTGAAGCACAGTACTGATGGTGCAGCAGAATACTGATGATGAAGCACAGTACTGATGGTGAAGCACAATACTGATGGTGAAGCACAATACTGATAGTGAAGCACAGTACTGATGGTGAAGCACAATACTGATGGTGAAGCACAGTATTGATGGTGAAGCACAGTACTGATGGTGAAGCACAGTATTGATGGTGAAGCACAGTACTGATGGTGAAGCACAGTACTGATGGTGAAGCACAGTACTGATGGTGAATCACAATACTAATGGTGAAGCACAGTACTGATGGAGACAGTGAGTCTTGTCGAAATATATACTTCATGCAGCTTTGACTCATGTAAAGAGACAGTGAGTTAGAGCAATGCACTTTCTTTGACTCTTCAATGGGGATGGCTATGGTGGACCATGTGACCCAGATTCTTTTTGTTTACAGGAGAAATCTTTGCTGTTCTGTGGCCCTGTGGGAGCCCTCAGTCATCCCCCATCGCTGAGAACTTCCCACCCACGTTGTGCTCTTACCCTGTTCCCATGGCCTCTTTCATTCACGCCCCTGCTGGGTCTTCTCAGCTTGGCACCAGGAGCTCTGGCCCTGCCCGCGGTTCTCAGCATTTTCCCAACTCCACTGTCCAACGGGTTGGGGATGAGGTTGGGGCTGTTTTGGTGCATGGGGGACGAGGTGGGGGCTCAGGAGGCGCTGCGTCTCTGGGTGTACGTGAAGATCAAACGTACATCACGAGCCGCGGGCCGCAGGGGTAGAGCAGAAGGACAGCGGGGTGCAGTCATGCGGCTCTTCCATATGGCGTCTTCAAGTTCAGGCTCGAAAGGAAAATCGAAAGGTGAAGGCCATCAGTTCAAGCCAATAATTAAATAAACATGTGACATCTATTATATATGCTGAATTATATACTGGCTTAGATACTTACATTTTATTTATTTAACAGATGCTTTTATCCAATTGAGAAGACAAGGTCGAATAGTCCCCGGAGCAATTGGGATTAAGGGCCTCGCTCAAGGGCCCAACGATAACATCACTCTGCTGACTCGGGGATTTGAACCAATGACCTTCCAATCATAGATACAGTCAGGGGCATTGGAAGTGGGGGGGGGGGGCAGGGGTACATGTACCCCCAATATTAATTTAGCTTCACTCCTTCCAATAAATAGACCATTGCATTTAAATTGCTAAGTTGTGTCCCTCCCACTATCAAAGTGACTCCGTTGGACACAGCACCCTAACCCTAAGCCACATAAGACCTCCACAACACCCCCAGCAATATTTCATACTGTAACATCAAATACATACACAGTGCTGCATAGCATTTGATACACAGTGCTTAGTTAGCATTGTATTTTCAGATGAAGCATTGCAACATAATACATAATGGTATAAATGTTATGGGACTTAATTTCAAGAAATACTCATTACTGAACCAGAATTAAAGTGCAGGTTGACACAGATGCCGCAGTGGGGGTATGTCACATATGAAACTGTCTTTCCTTTAGCACCTATGCATTATAATCATCCTGTGAAATCATCCACCACGCAAAAGTCTCTTTTTCGGCTGGCCTTAGGTTCGCCCCCGCTGCACTTTCCTGAAATAGGGTCTCCAGAGGGGGGTGGGGGGTGCGAGGGATGTGTTATTCTCCCGACCGTAAGGGAGAGGGACGGGATGGTCTTGCGGGAACTACTGTGTTATGCTCCGGCCCTAATGGAGGAAAGATGGTGGACGGGCAGAGTACCAGAAAAACCAGGTCTGAGCTGTGACCGAACGTCAGAGCGGAGGCTGAGTCACACTCCTCAGCCCCTCAATTACTCATGAGCCCCTGTGTCAGATAGGGCCCCCGAGGTGACAACCACGGTGTTTAAAATGGCATTTGCGCTGTGGGGTTGGTATCACTCTCTAGCTTCATACCAAAGCTTGAGAAGTACTGTGGGGCTTAGATGCGGCTGCAGAAAATGGCACAATGACACTGGGATGGGTTCCATCAAATGCTTGGAGAAGTGGTAGCTGTTGATCCACTGGAGGCTTATGGTTGGGTACGTATGTGTGAGCATTGTCATACAGTATGTGGATGCTGGAGCTGGTCTGGCCCTCTATGGGAACATCTGCTTTGAAGCATCACGCATGGACTGGTTAACATGAGAGCTGAGTTGCTGACTGAGGGGAAAGGAGACATCCATCATCATGCATATACTTCAAAGCAAAATGGCTGCCCTAATAGTCCTCTCCATGCAGCCAGCGGAGCCTGTTGTTTCAGCCGTGTGTGGGGGGGCTCTCGTGCGCTTTGCTGAAGAGCAGACTGTCACATTATCACTGAGCTCATGGCCAGACCACAGGGCCTTCATTATCTCTATGGGGGGTGTTCTGCGTAGGAACAACCCTAACAACCTTAACCCTAACCCTGGAGTATGCGATGCATGGTGGTTGGAGAGCTGCACAGAGATGTTATCTATCCTCATCCTCATCCATCCCCACGGACATCTAAACCATCCGCACCCCACCCACATATGCACCAAAACCGCCCCCACCTCGTCCCCCATGCACCAAAACAGCCCCAACCTCATCCCCCATGCACCAAAACCACCCCACCTCATGCCCCATGCACCAAAACCACCCCCACCTCATCCCCCATGCACCAAAACCACCCCCACCTCATCCCCCATGTACCAAAACCGCCCCCACCTCATCCCCCATACACGTGGATATCTGTGGTATTACCCCCTTCTCCATTCCCATGCAGCCCTGTAATCTCCCTTGAGTCTCCCATCAAGAAGTTCTCACTGGCCACTAACTGGTCATTAGCATACTGTACCAATCCACTATCGCCACATCTTTTCCTTGTTCCGTCATTACACAAAGGACAACCATTTCCATCAGATACAAAGAAAGAGGATGACACTTTGTAGCCAGAATACATATCTTTATTAGGCTGATAAAATACTGCTCGGAAAAAACAAACACAAACAGCACATCTCGTCCCATAAGTTCTTCGTCTCACACGTTGCATCACTGCTACAGAACGTCAGAGGCAAATAAAGAGCTGTTACGTGTCAGTGGAAAACCACGGAAATAAACAGACCAACAGATATAGCACAAGGGCTCATAAGTCTGGTTGAGAGAACTCTTAAGCGCTCATCAATTATCCATACAGTCAGCAAATCATCTGGGAATAGTATCAGACACTTTGGGTGAGGATTAAGGATTTGGTGGCTCTTCTCTGGTAGGGCAATAGCAGAGATGAGTGAAAGTCAATTCTGAATTGAAACATTGAGTAAGAAATCAGTTAGCTTTTATAGTCAGTAGTAACTACTTTAATCCAAAGAAGAATAAGAGAAGCATAGACGTAGATTATTTTTCTCCGACAAAAAAGTGTTTCAAGCACCATCCTGGAGGTTTAGCCCCCTGGAAAGAGCAAAGGCAAGCGAGCTGGCCCTTGTCTCAGCAGCCTTCTCTGGTTGGCATGTGGAAGGGGAATTGTGGGTATTACCTCTTTCCCATGTGCAACGTTAATGTCAGTGAAACAATACAGCTCCTTCTTTTCGCACACGCATTGATACAAAGGCTAACAACTAGAAAACAGTGTTCAAAAAATCGGGAACATCTACTGTCCACAGGGGGCATAATCAATAAATGTCACTATGGCGATAACTCTAAAAATATTTCAGTGCTCTACTTTTCCATTTGACAGACACAAATAGTTTTTTTTAGAACTCTGGAAACAATTATGTACTGAAAATCAGCTTTTAGTGGACTTCTTGTATATGAGACCTTGGGGTGAGGGGACTCACAGTATGGAAGGTGTTTCACTGGACTGAAGATCATTCAGCAAGGTGGTAAGCTAAGAGGATGCAACAGCTTGGAGTCTCCACTTTGTCTCTAATGTAAATGTACAGATTCAAAACGGTTTCGGCAAAATACGGGGAAATTAGCTTCTTGTACTACATGCCAACAATGATTCAACAGCTAGTACAACACCCCCTGCCTGTGCTTCATTGGTTCTGTCCATGAATACAATTTAGAACACAGAAATTGCAGAAGAGTAGAAATGGTATGATCCTACTAAAACATCAAGGGTTCCCAAACCTCTTCTTGGGCACCATTAGCCATCCTGTATCTGCTAATTATGGGTTTGATTAGGCTAGTTGATTAATTAAATCACATTATCTAGTGGTGGAATTATATGGAATGGCTGGAAGTCCTCAAGGGGATGTTTGGAAACCTCAGGTTTAGATGAATATTGAAGATAAGGACCCCATCCTAGAGGCCAACAGCGGGCCAGCAAGGTGAGGACCATATGGAGGGAGAGACCAAACGCTCCAGATCTAGGGGGCATGGAAAAGGTCACATGGTTGGGTTCTTGTTGTTGTCAGGATGGCACAGGCTTTCCATGTAGGTCTCCAGGAATGGTAGTTCCTCTCCAGAGCCATGGATCCGCAGAACTCTGCCGTGGAGATCCACACAACACTGAGCCAGAAAGGGATGCATAGGAATTTAACAAAACAGGGCAAACATGATTCGTTATCACAATGAACAAATGGTGTAGCATATTGTATCACTGAGTAATGTGTTTCACATAAATTACCCCTTTCATATAAAAGTACAAGAAATTGACTTTGATAAATATCTGCTAAGTACCTAAATAATCGTAGTAATAAATACGCTCCACACATGGCTGAACTGGAAATTTACCATTCAGTCTTTGTAAACGTTTCCATGAATCATCCACCCAGGTATGTTTGGCATTTCAAACAGTGAGATTATCAGCTATTGAAAGCAGTTATTTCATACGGTGCCAGAGTGACGAATGAACCTGAACAGAAGAGGACATTTAAAATGCCTGGCCCTTAAAGGCCATTTCACTTATCTGCTCACCAAGAATCTCAGCGCGGCAGCCATTACAAAGCCACGTAGGATTTGCCGACAGCTAAGCTACCTGACAAAACAGCTGGCTGGGTTTACACTTGAAAGGATTGACTTAACCTCTGTATACGCCGCATGAAAATAAAACAGCTCTGTCCAAATCTCCTCCACTGGGGCTTTTCCTTCAAGTCACCATAGCTTTTGTGATGCGGTCGGTTTTTGTTTTTGAAAGTCAGCAGCTCTGGAAATCCCTCACGGCTCCAGTACATTTTCCTCCACGGCACACCGGAGTTAATTCAGCCCGATTCATGTCAGCACGCTATTTTAAGAATGTCTGAAAACATACTCCATGATAAAATTAGATTAAATTCTCAAAAGGAGCTGCCCAGAATGATGGAGAAGTACTGGGACTCCTTTGTGGGCAACGAAAGCTCTGTTCAAATCTATTCTTGTGCAATATATTGACATTTCAAAATGTCTTTTCCTGTTTTGCTCATAGGTATCGCTGATGCATTTTTCACATCATGCTGTATTTTAACGGAGTGATTTGACTTAAGGAGCCTAGTCAGCGGGGCTTGGGGCTTCAACAGAAAACCTACACGTTTCAGCGTTGTCATATTCTACCAAGTTAATCAGTCCCAGTGTAGGAATGTGCTCAAGGCAAAGGCAAATACGAAGTAACTGGATATTTAAAAAGCGGAAAGGCTTACTTTCAGTTCCAGCAGAGTCTGGAGACCCAGGCACAGATCAAACACGTCTTCCTCTAAAGAGGAAAGAAAGCATGGAGGGGTGGAGCCATGTTGAGTACTGCTGGTGGTGTCCGCATGGACTGAAGACGCACTGATGGACTGGGGTCCTATTGACAACCGCTACATGTGGTTTTCTAATAATCCACAGTTATGTAACCTGGCTGCTTGAGACTTAGTCAGAGGCAGTTATTGCTTGATTTGCATTCTGTGTCCCGGGTGTTTTCCGAGGTGCATGATAAGCTTATATATTAAAGCCCTGTCACTGCAGGCGTTGCTTCTTTTTAAAGGACAAATGCACAAAAATTAGACTTGCAAGTCCCAAAAAATGCAGATAGAGTTAAAAGACACAGAGCTTGTTACTATCATGTAAAATGCTGGATTCTGTGTAAAACAAAATTGCCATGCAGTTGCTACAGTAATGCTACCAGATGCTTGTCACTCCATCTTTCTTTTGGTCATTTTTTGCCTTCAAATCATAAGCATATAATTGAAAATTTATAGTGAAATGACCCTGCAAGGACCTTACCAACAACATGCGCAGAGCACCGCACCCTCCCTTTGCCTAGCTGCAGATGGAGGTCCTTCACTGTAGGGGGCAGTGTGGTCACAGGGCAGCTGTGTTCCTTTTGACCCTCTGGAGTGGGCATCAGCCTACCAGTAAGAGCACAGCAGGGATCATATAACAACAACATATCAGAAACAGGATCTACGAATGGAGGAATAGAGACGGCAACAGAATACATAACAAAGGCCAATGACACCTGGAAATCAACCACATGACGGAAATTCACACATAGGAAGACAGAGTAGTTGTTATTAACCAAATCCTCCTGTGGATTGCCACCTGAAACTACTGATAGCTAAAATTAAGCTTACAAATAGAGATATTCTTAGATAGTGAGGTCTGCTGTGGATGTCCCACACTGAATACATTTTGCATGTCCATTGCATTTGTATCCTTTACGGCCTTAAAGTGACGGCAGCAGACCTTGAGGTCTTGCACTGTTTAGCTTCCAGCTGCATGCACGTTTCTCAGTGGCGGCCGGAACTCTCACCCGAGTCTTCGGCAGCAGGTGTAGGAGATGCGGTTGACCTGGCAGCTGGTATTTATGGAGGCCTTCACCTCCTTGTCACAACACTGCAGATTATAAAAGCACAAAATTGAGCGACATGTCTGCACTGTGAGCGTCCAAGCAGAAAGCAATCATACAGCACATACGATAGAAGCTTCAAACTTAGTTTGGTTTCCTAATGAAAGGCATTTAGACATAATGAACAGTGTAGTTCCCTATTTACACTGCCAGGCTGTACTGTACATAAATTTGCCATATAAAGATGTGAAAGTATTTTATTTAGGACCTAAATTCAAAAAAAAAATTAAGATTTTCACATTTCACATTTTAACATATACATATACATATATACATTATATTTAATCATAAAGGGCACTGAGCATTGTGTTTCTTTCCGGAAGGAGAATGACAGTAAGCTGAAAATTCTGATCTTTGTGTCAGTCAGGTGATAAAGCATTTAGAAAACATTACGTTGTTACTGAGACCTGTCTCTGTGCTCTTCCCTATTGTATAATCTGCCACAGGCTGAGCATGTGACTATGGCCAGCTGCACTGGTAAAATTAAATGGAATTCAATATAGTCATATAGACCATAACTTTATAATGTACACACTACTTCTATTATATGTTTACATTTATTGTTTACAATTATACATTTTATTATATTTTTTTACATTTAATTTGTATTTATGGGTTTAGATCAAATTATGAATTTTATTATTGTATATCAGAAAATTTTAGCTAAATAAAAATCCCAGTATTGCACACAAATGCAGTGCAGGGACTCTTGAAGGACACGTCAACACCAGCAAAATTACCAAATAAGAAGCAGATTACAGTTAATAGTTAGTTATGTACAACCTACAGCTGTCTTATTTATGTTTAATATGCAGGTTTATATTTAAACTGAACTACTATAATCTTGCATATCTCCTAGTTTTGTGCTCACACAGCTGTCATTGTCCCCTTAATACAATTAATTCTCTTTGCCTTCGACTATCACTGTTGAGATAGAAGGCTTTACAGTTTCTTTCCGCATTCTGCACAGTGGGGCTTAATATTCAACTAATCAGTAGGTAAACTTCCACACTGCTGTGACTGGCTGGGGGGGGGGGGGGGGGGGGAGCTCTTATTAAACATGTCACTGTACTGTGACCTCTGGCCACCTCAGAGAAAAGGCAGCGTGTGTGACATGAGTACAGAAACCTGCATCCATGCCATCCCACTCCACTTCCTGAAAGCAAAGGAGAATTATTCGTGTTTCCAGGCTTTCTGGGGTTGGTGCTCTATGCTTATCACCCGTTGAACTCCAGCTCAGTTCAGACGTGTTTTGTCCAGTTTATTCCCCCCCCGCATCTCTTAATCAGACAGTCAACTGGGGCGGGTCATGGTTTACAGTGGCCACGTCATGCTCCAGGCTATAGGGTTGTTATCAAATCCACTTTGTTCCCCCTAAACTTCACAGCTTTGCCAGCCAGCCCCAGCGTGTAATCGTCTGTCTGGCTGGCGTGTAAATATTCAGCTTTCAATGCTCAGCTGTGAAGTCTAAAAATAGCTTGAGGATTATTAATTGGAAGGATTTTTTAAAATCAACATTTAGCAATCTGCACAGAAAACAAGCACGGAACAGTTTAATTTAGGGTCCAGTTGACAAAAAAAAAAAGTCAAAGTCTAGTGCCACTCATTAACCACAAATGGGGATTTCACAGAGAGTACTCAAGGTATCAATCTGCTTATCATAATTTTTTTAAAATCCGTAAAAATTAGTTAACTTTTCATTGACTGCATAATTTCTAATTAATTGTGGATGAGTCACAGTTACAGAGTGTGATGCACATTGGAACAGACACCCATGAAGTTCTACTAAAAAACAAATTATTTGTGGAGTGACATATGTGTGGAGTGAGACACACTGTTCTGTTCGATGTTTGGAGCGCAGTTCTCGTACATTCAGCTTTACACTCTGCTGACATTAACAGTGAAACCTCACACACAGCCACAGGTCACTCAGACCGTACCTGCGAAACAGTTTATATTCAGTTAGTATAAAAAGGTTTGCATAAAAATGAAAATGTATTTGATGAATGAGGTGCTGGACATTGTCAAACAAACAAAAAAAAACATAATACAAACAAAAATCATGATTTTGAAGATTCAAAATTTACTATATGCTGGATCTAATACAGCTATTTTCATATCCAAAATCAGGTGCGAATTAGGTGAAGATTGTAATGTATTAAAGACCCATATGAAGTTGGCTGTGTACTGGCCATACATTAATTCCAGGTTCTTACACAGTGCCTGGTACATACACTGCATTATCTGTACCTTTCAAACCAGGGAACTGGGCCCGTTTTGTATGCTAACATGACCCTGTTGATTTTCAGACAAAATCAATGTACCTGTAGAATATGGTAGGTAAAATGGGTTTAGACCAATAATTGACCACATTAGGTAATTAAGAATGGCTGAGAAATTCTGATCTGTACAATTTGACTCACAGGACTGACTCGGTTGCCTGAGTTTGTCTAAGGCAGTGTTTCACAATCCAGTGCTTGGGGACTCACAGACAGTCCATGTTTTTGCTCCCTCCCTGAAAAGCGTGGACTGTCTGACAGGGAGCTCGGAGGGAGCAAAAACATGGACCGGCTGTGGGTTGCCGAGGACTGGATTGGGACACACCAGTCTAAGGTTTTGTAAATGGTTGCTTGGGGAATACAGGAAATTGATACGCTCAACTGTGATACTCTTAAAGAAAGCACTTACCCTAGATTGTGTAGAAGACAGATATACATCCGTGTAAACTGATTACATTTGAAAGACAAAGCTTTTAGTTCTGTAATGCATTGAAAAACAATGACATAATCAAATAAAGCAATTTTGCTAATGGAAATACTTTGTTGCTATTCACATGACATTTATATGTTAGAGAAAAAACAGTCTGTGTAAGAGTTTTCATCACTGTGGCTGGTGATCCAGGTGGTCATTGTTGCAGTCGTTGGCATATTGTTAAGGCCGTATTAAAGCAGACCGCAGAGCAGATTTTCTATCTCTCATCACGCCACAGATGCACTCTGATGGGAGCTACAGATCTGCTGGCGTGTGTCTGTGTGGCTTGTTAATACCAGACTACAACCGGCCAAGATGAGACCCAGAACAGAATGTGCTGTGGACATTATATCTTCTGTTTTCACACCGTTACATGTATGACCATATAGATCAGAGAACCAGCCGTGATCCTCAGGTGAGGAACCTTCTTCATCTCCATCAGGTGGCATCAGGAACCTTGGCTTCGCTTCAGGTGGATGTGTCCACTGATTGGACCATCCCCTTAGAAGATTCTCCTGTCAGATTTTATTCTGCAGCTCTGCAGTCTTCATCTGGTTACTGCAAGCTGTTGTACAACATCTAGCTTTTATCTACATCTAGTTATTAGAGTGTACAAGCCTTTGAGACCATTTTCATCCTCTGCATACAATACACAGCGTTACGTCAACGACTCTCATTAATTTCATAACATCTTTTTCATCCTTTTCATTTCTGTATGACTGTTTCGGCTCTGTTTCGTCTTTCATCATTTCAGCATTTTCCGGGGCGGTGGGGGGGTTTTCAATCTGGAGAATCAGGTGGCATTAAGTCTCCAAGGTTTTCTGCCTTTTAACAGCCTCTGGTTGTTATGTGTTTGTGCTTTTAGACATTTAATATACTTGTGGATATTGAGGATGTTTTTTATATCAGCCTCAGCTTTGTCAGGTTTCTCTTTGTGCAGCAGGATGAGTCATGCTGATAGGTTCTTGCCATTAAGTGTGTAAATAGCTTACAGAGGTTCCGATGACCCGGACGCTGTTAAGATATCAACGGCTCATCATTTTATGTCTCCATTATTACAAATATGTAAAATGAATCATAGCGTCTCTTCAGCCAGACGTACTGCTTTCCCCAAAGTTTAGTTTTTATTTGAGGACTGGAGAAGGAGTTCCTGTTGCCTTCAGCATTTGTGCTTTCTGGTGACGCAGTGTGCTACCATAATTTTGAATGTGAATATCTCCACATCTCCAAAGACTGTCCAGCGCTGGACAGGCATTCTCTCCAGGCTGTTCCTCTGCCATGTTGTTGGGAGTAAGATCCAGGCTTCAGACTCTGATATAACCCTGTACTAGATAACCAGTTGGTAAATGGATGGATGGTTGGATGGATGGCGGTACATAAAAGGCAATTGAACTAGAGACATCAGAGAGTTCCTATTAAAAGCCAGGTTTAATACAAACTGATGCTAGAATTTCCTTACCTTGCACTGGACCACCAAAGCAGTGAGAGTCGTTGCTGTCTTCCTCTCCTCCATTCTCAGGCTCTCGTCTCTCCGGCCGGCATCTGATTTCTTATTTGCTGCCTTCTCGCTCTGCCACCGCCCATCAGATTTGCTCAAAGCCTTGCCGGCCTCCTCCTCTTCCTCTTCTTCTTCCTCCTCCTCGGACCTCAGGCTCCTTTCACTCTCCTCAGGGGATTCCCTCTCTTCCGTCGAGTCATCCGCCGTGCTCTCGCTCTTCTCCTCTGGCTCCGCCCCTTCCTTGCTGTCCGCTAGCGGGGAGCGCACCCGTGCAGAGGTGTCCCGGGCTTCACCGCGCAGACGCGGTATGTTGCCCTCCAGGAGGCGCCGCTGCACTATGCAGTGTGGTTGCTGTGGAGAGTCGGCGAAGAAAAACACATGAAACAAAGTCAGAGGTCAGGTCCAGATATGTAGAGTAGAGGTTACTGGAAGGGTATTGGGTCATAACTCAGGATGAAATTGATCTTCTTTTGAAAAAATATTCTACGTTCACAAAATAGCTTAGTATCTGAGTAAAAGAATGCTAAGTAATTTTGCTAGTATAAAATATTTGCAGAAATACTAATGTTTGTATTTAAATAATGTTATGTTACGTATTTTAATAATGTCAGAGTTGTTCAAACATGCAGAGGTGGAGGGTTCAGGTCAAGTACAAATCCAGACCAAGATTTTGTTTCAGCCAACCAGTTGCGTACTCTGTGCCTGTGATTTTTTATACTCATCTGGTTGGTTGAAACAAAATCCCGGTCTGGACCTGAAATCTCCACCTCTGCAAACATGGCAGACCGAAGCCTAATCTGACAATCAGTTTACCCCATTTAATTCCTCGATGAACGATCATACACTTGGTGGTGGAGTGATAGGATTCCTGTTAGTAAACAATAGACGGAAACGCGTGAGCCTTTCGCGATTCACTGACGTGTTTTCCCATGGGGAGTCCGGCCAGCTTTAAAGTGAGATACAAGGTCAGTCAGCTCCAGCAATGTCAAAGACATCAATAACGTCATTGGAAGGCAGTCAAGTCAATTTATGCTTGCTAATCATTGATGGAACTAATGTAGCCAGCACAGTCTGTGTGGGAAAAAAGGCTCAAGTTTATCATTATATAATATAAAATAAATTAACTAATATAAATGACTTATATATAAGATAAACATAATTGCACATATTTATATGAGACACGTCCCCTAAAGCCAATATAATGCCCACGTTTTTTTTTTTTTTTCCCTAATTTCCTGTTTCGGTGTTGATGTGCATGTGGGAATGTAAATACGTGCATTTTTCCCCGTAGTTCAGACACAATCAGCAGGTCACGCACCAGTGAGCTGGTGCCAGCCAGTTTCCTGAACAGACTGCAGCTCAGGATCAACGCAGCCACCAGAAAACCAGAAAGCAGCAGAAAACCCAGCTGCCGGTCAGGCTTTGTCGTTTATAAACATGCGCGGTGCCACAGGGACGGTAAACGCACAGGGACGGTAAACGTACAGGGACGGTAAACGCACAGGGACGGTAAACGCACAGGGACGGTAAACGCACAGGGACGTGCGCACAGCTGCATGATGATAGCCACGCTTCACTTTCAAGGCCCAGGGGAGGTCACAGCTCTGTTCTAAATGGATCAAACTCCAAACTCAATAAAAAAAAAAACTGTTATTTCTCTGGGCACAGTCCCTCCACAGCTGTGTCGCCCCAGGAACATGGACCCTGAGGTCCTCAGCCTTTGTCACCACGTCCCCATCATCCTCTCATTACAGGCACATTATCCTGCCGCCTCAGTCCTCCCTCATCATGTTTTATAATCCAGTCAGCACACCAGCGTTAAACATGACTGCAGAAGCAGCAGCGCAGACAAGAGACACTGCTTGTTCTGACAGGGGGGACAGACAGTCACGCTAAAAAAAATAAAAAAAAAAATCAATATTTAAAAACTCCTTTAGAGCATTTGTCTGCTTAGATTCTCAATGTCAGATGCCTTTTTTTATTAAATAGAAAAAACATGGACACACCCACAAGCTAACATACTGTTTTACAAATACGCACTCAAAACAAGAACAAGTACCATTACTGTGAATGAGAAAGCAAATTAAAATCTTTAAATTCCCCCAGTTCCGGTTTACATAGAAATAATGTTTTATATATGAATCGCTTCTATTTTCAGAGCAGTGCATTGTGGGAAGGACACGGCCAAGCTCACAGGGGCTGTGTTATATAAACCTCTGCAAATCCAGACCTTGAAGCGGCTCTGTTCCAACAGCTGTAACAAATTCACACATGATTGAACAGAAAGAGAAAAGACGACTAAGTATATGAAAAGCATGGGAAATACCACAGTGCTTTAAAGGAGATGGATAAACATCACAGAAAGATGGAGAGTTATTACCAGGCAAATGCCAAGGGGTCTGACCTAAACTCTTCTACAGGAGAGTTTGAGAGTGTGACTGAAGATGAGAGATTTGCAGGGGGGGGGGGGGTAGTGCATTAGTGAGGTTGATAAAAAGAGGAATGACTGCCAGTGTTTGCCGCTACCTTGATGTCCTCTTGTTTGCTTTTGCTTTTTTGCCAGCCTGTGAAAATGCTTTTGCTGTTGCTACTTTGTGAATGTCGTCCCTTCCAGTCTGTGTTGGCTATAAATGGGGGAAAGGCTCTGCAAGTTAGGACTCCGTGTCTGTGATCGGTAGGTTGTTGGTTCAATGCCTCGCTAGGGTCCTTGGGTCCCTAAACCTAATTGGCCCAGGAATGTTGGCTGACCCTGTGCTCTGACCCCAAAACCTGCTGTAACCTGTGTCTCTCATGGAGAGCATGGTGGCATAAGTGATTAAAGTATCACTATTGTATTCTGTGAGATGCGGGAGGGTGCTCACAGGCTGAAGCCACCATCAAGTTGTTGGGCCAGTTTGTCATATGCTTGCATCCCTCTTTAACATTCCCGCTTTACCAACCTGTCTTCGTTGATGCCCAACACACGCCCCCACCTCCTACAATCCGAACACCTTTGGATAGCAGCTCCATCCTCATTCACTGGGCTCCATCACCACCTAAATCCCTGGGATCACTGCCACATCCATCATCTGTCTCCCTCTGCATTCTGAGCAGCTCTCATCAGATCAGGCCTCTCCTTACAGACCATGGGGCGCGGACAGTGATGGTCACACGAGACTAATCATCTCATGAGGCTAACTCTACTGATAGGCTTGTACACTGGGCTTTGTGAGTGGGATGCAACAACAGGCCCTTTTGCTGGGGGTGAGGGTGGGGGGGACTTGCCCTTTTCAACTGAACAACCAATGATCACGAGGGGACCACCCCCCCGATCATGAAAATTTACCAAAAGGGGCCCCCCCCCCCCCCTCCCAAGAAATAACCCCCATTCGAGCGCCTGCCACTTGAAACATGCTATGTTATGAAGTACGATGTACAGGGTGTGATATATTACGGTGCAGTACAAAAGCGGTTTGCTCGCATGGTGCATTATAAGGCAAGTCGCAGAATAGTGTAGCGCATGGAATCTAATGATTTAGAGGCTTGGGCTGAGGCAGGCGCATGGCAACAACCTGGTCCACATCACGGCCATTTTTACTGTGACGGCTTCCTGCAGCCAAACAACACGGCAAACATGCGTTTGATGCTTCAGTTAACTGCTTGCATCAGTCAGTGATATAATTACTCCCCTATTAGTGAAATGTAAGCTAATTATTGCTGGTTATGGCTTTCATGGCTCCAATTAAAGAAGAGCCGGGGGCGGGGGGGGTATCCGGGAGGGGGGCTGTGACGGGAAGAGAAAGAACGCAGGATGGAAGGAAGGGAGCAGAGGTCCGAAAGGTTAATCGGCCGGGCCTGTTACGGTGCCTCACGGTTCTGCTGCCTTGTTTGTGTGGGGTTGGTGGATCATGACCAGTTGCCCCCGGATATTAGGGATCCAGTACCAGTGGACTTGTTATCCCACTCCTCAGCTGAACTGGGGGGGGCACTCACACACACTGGGGGTAGGAGGAGTGTCACCCAGTTTATTTTTCCAGAGAGAGAGAGGAATAAATAAAGATAATGTGGAATGAAGGATTTCCGTTGTCGAACTGGGAATTCAGAGATGGAGCAGTGATAAGGGGAGATCAAAGATGGATGGGAAGTAACTGCAGCATATGGAGCAGACAAAGCAGATGGGCAGTGTTGGGGGGGGGGGCTCGATCAGAACCCCGCTGTCGGGGCTCCTATGGTCCGGCCAGGCCGACAGCAAACGAGCAGATCCTCCCCCAGGTGATGATGCATGCCAGCTGCGATTCCGTCGTCCCTTGAGGTCGATCGACGGGCCTTTCCATTTCCCCCTTTATTTCAGCGTCAGACACACCGCGTCCCGCGGCTGAGCGCGAATCCCGCCGACTCAGAACTAAACGAGAACGCTTATCGGAGGCTTGCCACCGCGGAATTTCTCATTAATCCAGCAAGTTATTTTCATCTATAACATGGCTGCTCTGCCCTCCCCCGGTTCTGGATTTCTATTCCCTGCCTTCCCTGTTAAAGGGGGCTTTGTGGGCTGGGTATTGGTAGGGGAGCACTTTGTTTTGCTAGGCCTTAATGTAACAAACATACTGGGCATCCACACTTCTGACGCACTGGATCTCACAGGACGCAGGATCTATTAAAAGGAGCCTCTGTTCTGCACATGCAGACACACTGCAGGACACCTTTCTGGGATGGGGGCGGGGGGGGGTAGGACACATATCATCCAGGCAGCTAAAAGTCAGTACAGGTCTCCCCAGCAGCCTCACTCTGAGCCGGGGGGCTGTATCTAAATTCAGGTGCAGAAGCTACACATAGTGGCCAAAGCGACACGTTTCACCCTTGCGGGAAAGACGGGGACCTTAATAAAGGGCGACAACACAGAGGCTGCGGAGTAATGGCTGCCAGAAGGGTAACCCCCCCGTTCCTGTCTGTCCTCCCCCCAGGGACTCGCCTGCCGTTAGCGTAATCGGTTCGTACTGAGTCATACCTGTTAATGCAGAAATCCAGCCAATCAATTGGCTCCTCCCCCTATTACTTCTCAATGTTTACAGTTAGTATATCTGGTACTTTTCGATACATCAACTCAAAGCAGACGACTGTTAAAATACGGCTCGTGAGACTTTTTTTTCTCAAAGGGACTATTTGCTGTTTAATTTACCTAAACCGACTTTAAACTCCATTACGGCGTAGAGATTCCCTTTCCGCGTTTTGCTTATTAAGGCCGTAAGCATCTGCTCTGAAGCTGGCAGTCTGTGACGCCTCTGTGGGCTCTGGGTCTGTCCATGGACTTCCGAACCCCAGCAGCAGGCTGGAGACCACAGCACATGCGGTAACTCCCAGGCTTCCGGCAATAGCTGATCCCCTGCCAGCCCGAGACCCTTACAGGGGTTACTATTCAAATCCCTATAAGAGTGACAGCCTGTATCTCTCTGTTCCTCTCCTCCACTCTCCCTTCTGCTCCTCATTCTCTCCCATCTGCCGTCCTCTCCTCTCCTCCCCTCCTTTCCTCACAGCCTGTAATCTCTCCATCTTGCACCCCTCCCTTACTCGCAGCTTAACCACAGTACGTAGCTGTTTTCTGCCTTGGGTGTCATTAGACGGCCTCGTGTCTGCTTTTCCTCTTCCGTACCGACATTCCCGTGATGTCAATAAGGAGTGTATGGCAGCTTTTTGCATTCTATCATTAGGGTGTTTTTATCTGTCTATTTTTATAGCCGCTGCTCTCCTGACAGGCACAGAAGCCCTGTTGTTGCCTGATACCCCTCTGCTCATTGGTCACCAGGTCGTAACTGGGGCCAGGAGCTGGGATCTGGGAGAGATATGACTCATAGTGCTTCCCTGTGGTGGATCAATACAAGACAGGCCTGTAGAGGGAGCAGGTAGCATGCAGTTACCGCAGGAGGGACAAATATCCCACTGCGTCCGGATAGGCCGGTGCCGCTGGGTTAAGAGGGACCTCGGAAGAGCTCAGCGGAGCTGGAAAGTTAAGAGCGAGCGGTGGGAGCGATGCCAACGGCGTTACGCCCCTACGAGCCCAAGTGCGCCTCAGAGAACCGTGTCAGAGGGAGCGGGAAGGCTGCAGCTCCTCTCTTCCCCTTCATCTCCCTCTGTTCTCCTCCCCCCATCCCGCTTTCACAGTAAGACCGGAGCAGACCGCGCTAAACTGTCGGTGCCTGATGGCTGTGCTGTTTACTCCGGACGGAGGGAGGCGGCTGACAGTGCAGCGTGCCCAGGTACCTCTGTGCTTACGCAACAAAGGCCTGTCCCAGAATGCTGACCTGCTTCCAGTGACATCTCTCCCCTGGGGGGACGGGGTGTGGGGGGGGGGGGGCACAGAATTATTTCACGTCACAAGGCCTGTTGAACAGCTTAGCATTCTGGATCATTCTGTGTTCGGAACGCGCCCGCGTGCGGCTGAGGAGAGGCTCTGTCATGGTCCCATGTTGACACTCCATCTCCGTCTCTCTAGACTGAGGATAAATATCCACTAAATACCACGTCTGGCCATTTTAATGAAATGAACATAAAGCAGGCTGTTTCTCCCGCTTGGAGGGACCTGTGTGACCAGAGGATGGATATGTTGTCCTGAGTCTTATTTGCCTCTATACCACATTAACAGATTGTCACACGCAAACATATATAGGGAGGGGCAACAAGGCCAATTGGTCAGCTACCCTGTCACTCACCAATTTGAAACATATGATTGGCTAATACTAAGTTTGGCCTTTCTGTATGAATTTTTGGCCTCTCTTATGCCCCCCCACCCTAAAAAAAATCCTAGAATCGTTTCTGGTCACTCCCGTGTACTTTTTGATCTCCTGGGACACGCTAGTGTCAGCTTTGAAACGGGTCCCGGCTCTCAGCTGAGGAGTCAGCAGCGATAACGGTGCCGTGGGCATCGCCAGTCTCCCGCACCACAGATGTGTCAGGCGGCGAGGGGGAGATGCAGGTGGGCAGGCTGCACGATGGCGTCCACTCCACCGACACCCACATTATACTCCAAGCTCTGCTCTGAGGTCGCAGTTCAGTCATTTATGTAGCACGTTTAGCAAGAAGCGCTGTTATGTAGCGCTGTACAGGGTGCTGGACGTGAGGACGGCCTGAGACGAAAGTCACGAGGACAATCAGAGACCTGGGAGGAAAGCAGACTCCAAGAGCACTGAACTGCGTTCCCTGGTGCCTTTTTAAAATAAGCCGGACGTGATTCTGCATTCACCCGCACTGCGCTTACTGAATATTAAAAGCATATTTGCTTATTGAGATTCCCAGAGGGGACCGGTACATGCGGACAGAACCTTTTCATGAATTATGCTGTGGAACATGCTTCAGTCCGTGAGGAGAGCTTTTTAGTGCATCATTAAAATGTCGAGAGGGGAACCTGTTTCTGTCAAAGATCTCCCCACTTTCAGCTGCGGGTCTGTTGGCAGGGTGGTGGGTGCTGCATATAGGGGGCAGGCACACGTGCGTGTGTTAGGGGGAAACTGAGCAGGTGCGTCAGCTACCAGGTCCCGCCCCCTGCTCTGCCTGTCCCTTTAGCCCCGCCCCCAGCCTTATGCCCCGCCCTTTTGACAGGAGGACACTGCTCATACAGTGACCTCCCTGCTGCTAAAGGCAAACACTGGCTTTTACCCTCAAATACCAGAAACTCTCAGGCTTACATTTCATTACTAAAATTTTAGCTTCTTTAATCATTTAATTAATGTGTTTTTATTTTCCCTTCTCTTCCATTTTCTCTCGGGATATCCAGTGACATTCACAGTCAGGGTCCCGTGCTGCCTGGGGAGAGGAACTGGAGAGGTGTAGGGGAAGGAAAGGGAGCAGGGCAGCAAAACAACGGCCACCATCCCTGAACGCAGCATGAAGAACCACTTAGAGATCGCAATCCTCTCTGTCCTCCTCATCCTCACTATCTGCCTAATTCCCTATCATTCTGCCCCTCCCTCCGGCCGCTCTCTCCAGCTCCACGCGCCGTGGTGTTGTCCTGGAGCAGAGAGGCGGCGCAAGGCCGTGCATGGCTGGCTCACGTCTGCCATTTTAGCCCGAGGCTGTCCAACTGTCCCACACCGACTGCCTTTGCTTAGCTGAAAACTTTAAGAGGCTACATCTGACGTGGGTATGAAATACAAACTTCAGCTTTATGTAAAATCCATCGGCAGATAAGCTGCATAATAAGTTCATAACTTTCTGTTTAAATAAACAATGCTTTGTTTTAATTTAAACTCATAATAAAGCCTTAACAATGTCTATATAACTATCATACTTTGTTTTCATAGGGCTGCAGAATATTTTATGCCTGCTAAATGTATAAAGAATAAATTTGAAGCCTTGTGATCAGGAGCAGTTAGGGGTGGATATAATGGCCGCCAGCAGGGGGCACTCACCAGGTCCTTGGACGTGCCGAGTCTTTTGAGGCCATCGAGGGGCAGCAGGTCAGCGGAGTCCTTGTGGGTGAACTGGGTGGCCTGCTTGAGACGCCGCTGCTGGTGCAGGATTGCCTTGTCCCGCATCTCCAACTCACCCTTCTTGGGCTCGCTCATGACGGCTCAGCGGGCGTGCGGTCCGTCTCGGGGCAGAGGGGTGAGAGGACGTTGCCCCGAGTGGCGGCACGGAAGCACCAGGGGGGCTGGGGCGTAGGGCGGCTGTGAGCTCAGCAAGCCGTCAGGCGCGCAGACAGAGGTCAGCTAGCAGTGCACAACAGGATAGAGCACACTCCTCTCCGTCTGCATCATGTGACTGGACACCGGCGGCGCGCCGTGTGACACGGCTCAGTCAGGTGGAACGCGCTACAACAGGGCAGGATCCGTCTCACCACAGAGCAGCACTATACTGCTCTACAACACAGCACCCAGTCCCATAATACACTCCCGGACAGGACAGTGAGGTATAGTAACCTAGGCTACAGGACAGCAACACACACTGACATACACAGAAGCCCCACAGCCGTATACAGAGGACGCTACAGGGCACAGGAACATGCGAGGAGGCGGAGGAGTCCAGTAGGACGGCGAGCTGTCAAAGTGGGTCCCTTTTTCGCGAAGGAGTGTGACGTGGCTGCCTGTCCTTCTCCTCCTCTCAGTCACAGTATGTCTCTCAGTTATTTCGGCGCCGCGGTGATGCCTCCCCGTCCTCCTCGGCCCCGGGTCCGTGACGGCCGTCCCGCCAGAGCCCTGCAGCTTAAGGGCAGCTTCGCACGAGAGCAGCCGTGAAGAGCCCGTGTCTGAAAGTCGCTCACTCCGCCGTCTGCGCCGCTTGTCCTTGCAGCACTGTGGAGGCAAACTGTGCGTCTCCTCCCCCCCCCCCCCCCCCCCCCCCCCATCATCTCTCGGTTGCTCTCTCTCTCCCTTCCTCGGTGTAGCCACCCTCTTCCTCCCACCCCCTCCTTCCCCATCACACACATACACACACACACACACACACACTTCCCTGATTTCCTCTGCGCACATCGCTGGCATACTATCATCTGTTACTTCTTCCCGTGATGGAAAAAAACTCCCCTGACCTTCCATTCTCCCATCACCGACTTGTCGGACAGTAATACGGACAGACTGTCCAATTTTCTTTTATCTAAAATTCCAGCATTCATTTTTTTCCCATGACAGCTTCTCATACTCTAGCCTTGACCCTCAGAGAGCGAGCCTGACATTTCCCATCCCAAACTACCCAATTCTGGAGGGAGTATGTGCCAGGCGTTGAATCACTGCATCTTCAAGCATTACGGCCCCACGCTGTTACTGCCAGACGGCCCAGTGCTGGTGGGTGATCAGTGCTGCCAGTTGTGTAACAGGCAGACTGGACAGGCATGAGACACCTGTCTATTCACCAGGGTTCTGCAGAACCCCCTCTGTCTGTAATAGATGTAGAGTACTTCTAAGGAGTATTGCACACCAGTCTATATAGCATTGGTTACGAATTCAGGAGTATTAAATGCTAGTGTGAAGCAGTGAGTCAGTATTTATAAAGTATGGGCACCTATTTAAGGAGCAAGAGGAGGGCACAGAATTCATAATCTGCGGTTGTGATTATAATAAAGAAAAGATGGATTTAAATCATTAAGCAATTTGTGAGTGAAATATCTATTATATCTTGTCCCAAATATTAGTTCAGTAAAAAATAGAACTCCTCAGGCAGCAAAAACGAGTCTATGGCTATGAAAAATGTGTTGTTGTGTGTCTGCGTTTTCAATCGATTGGCCTGCCGTTTGTGGCCCCGCTGTGCCGAGCGCTAAATCATTTTAAATTCACCTCCGGTTCATTTATAAAAGGGAACTGTCGCCATCTCCTGGTAACTTATATGCATTTGATTGCAGAAAAGCTCGGAGTTTGTTTTTTATTAAAGGTGACGGTTAAAATGGGCATTCTGGCTTTGCTCCACTGTCATCTCATTTTCCGGACAGACCATGTGAAGCATGTTTCCTCTTTGCACTTAGTTCCCGCATTTGATTTGCTTGTGGTGGCATATGATCGTCGTAAATGGAGGGAAATCAGATCAGGTTGCATTTACAGGACAAATGAGGAATTAATGAGGAAGAGGGACAAATGGAAATGTTAACATGGGGCGGGGTTTAATGTATAATAATTGCACATATAATTTGGCACACTTAGAAATGAGATATCCACTACCGACAGATGTGTGTGCAGTGACCCCTCGGAAACTACTCAGTAGTAATAATGGCCGGGTGCTTCTTCGCCCTATTTAATCGTAGCTACAAATGATTTCTTCCGCTTTAATGCTGGAAAGGCAAAGCGCGTCCCATGTTGCCAGTCGGGTTGCTAGGGCAGGTGGCGACAAAGCCGAGTAAACACCCTACACGTACTGTACCGCAGCCTCCTGCAAAGCGCAGGTGCGGCGTCGGTATCCGCCGTCTCCCTTATACTGTAAGTGACCCTGACACGAGTTTGATCGGATAATGCGGCTGCGCACGATTGCCGCAATGAATGCGCTGTTTTCCGTCGGCGTAACATGGAAAAAATTGTAAGAGTGTCCATATTTATTTATGTTCGGGAACAAGTCCGATGTATTGGCATGGCCCATGGCCGTAGGTTACTGCTACAACCTGATAAGTGGTTATACCATTTTTGTTTTGTTGCTCTCTATTTCTGCATGTGTTGTACTCTTGTCTCTATGACCACTGTCTCTACAGCAGGTTCCAGTCAAAATGATCAACTGAATGCTTTATTAAGAATATTATGTAGCAGCGAGAAATTTTAATAAAATGCATTTAAAAGTACAATAGAATGGGAAGGAAAAACTTTAACAGATCAAAGTCATTGGTGTGGGGCTGTCTGTCTCTGACTTCATAGGTAATAAGACGTGCTAGTCTGGGGTGTCAGAAGTGTGTGTGTGTGGGGGGGGCACACTGGCATAAAACTAATATTTTATGTTAAATGTGGAGGGGTCCAAATGAATAATTATGGAATGTGAGGGGTTTAATGGCGGCGACGCCCATGGCATCACAGGGCACTCAAACACATAAATGCCAATGTATAGACCTCAGGTACCCTACCTGTGTTGCTTAAAACCATTAAACACTGATTAATATAAATATAATATATGTATGAATTTTGTGAATATTATCCATTGTGCCTCTGCAGGTTGAACAGAACAGCCTTGGTCAGTCTGTAGGTTTGGAACATGTCACAGATGAATAATGGAGACTGAAGCCAACCTCAAACTGTACCAATTAAAGAAAAATCAAGACCCCAGACTATACCAATAAAAGGAAAATCAAGACTCCAGACAGTACCAATAAAAGGAAAATCAAGACCCCAGACAGTACCAATAAAAGAACAATCAAGACCCCAGACTATACCAATAAAAGATAAACCAAGACCCCAGGCTACACAAGCAGCAGAAAAGAGGACTATTTCAACCCTTAGCCTTGAGACAGAAGCAGAAGAGATGGAATCATCAGAAAGTGTAAATCAGCAGAAAAAGATGTGCAAGAGAAGGAAGGCTATAGTGGTCAGGATTCCAGGGGCTTTTGATGAACCCATGGAGGAGCGAGACTCTGGCAGGGAATCCAGGAAAAGGATGGGGAGATCCATCTCCGAGGATGGAGCAGGAAGCACAACAACCCGACTAGCTTCCAAAGCTGATGGAGAAATCAAGACAGCAAAGTTGGTTTGGACAAAAGGAGACCTGCGGGGAGGTGCGGGCGGAGCCAGGGGGTGGCTTTGTGCCAGTGACATGCTGTTTGTGCTGAAACCATTTGGGGTGCAGATCCTCAGGCTACAGCCACCACCAGCTCCCAGAAGCAATGTCTCCATCAAATACCTGAGGAGGGTCAGAAGGAGGGAACAACAGACTAATGAGCAGGATCAGGAGCACAAGTACCGGGGTAGGCAGAGTCCCCCCAGGAAGGCGGCCACTGATTGTCACCTGGACCCCAGTCAGAATGATCAGCTGAGGGCCTGGATTCATGGGAAGGACCTGCTGGCTAAAAAGGAGAGGCTTGCTAAGAGGAGAGAGAGAAGGGCTGTGAGGAGAGAGCAGAGGAGGAGGGAGCGACAAAAAGAGGAGAGGGCAAAGGTGTCGGAGCAGAAAGTCAAAGAGTGGATGGAAAAGAAAGGCGGGGAGGCCGCCAGTGTTGAGAAACACAAAAGAAAGGAAAGTGAGCTAAGGGAGCAGATATCTCACACAGGGGAACAGGTGAGAGGCACTGTGGATGCTTCTAGAGCAGGCAAATACAAGGGTGAAGGATTCTCCCGACAACCAGCAACAAAGCGCATGTCTAAGTTGGCTGGTGTGGTTCCCAGTCAACCAGAAATGCAAAATGGGTATCCAGCTGCAAAACCGCATCATTCAGTTAGGAGAGATCCCGTTACCCCGAATAATGGAATAGAGAGGAGACCATCTGCACCACTGCTGGTTGGGAAACTTGATCAAGCAGGTGTCCCTGCAGAGGCTACTGACTATTCTGAGCTTCAGGTGGGTGTAAAGCCAAGGTTGAAAGCAAAATGGAAGGAGCAAAATGTTACCAGTGTGGTGGGACTCGGTAATGATGGTATAAAACATAAGGCAAATAAATCAGGCTTGCTTTCCTCCAAGGAATCTAGACAAGTGAAGGAAAATGCTACACTGAGACAAGACAGCAACATCATGGGATTTCAGGGGTCTGAAAGCAACCTGAGACCGCAGGGCAAGTGGGTGGATGCAACACGTGCCATCCAGTTGCCTCAGGACACCAACTGCAATCTTAGAGGTCATTCCACCAGAGGGACTCGCAGTGAGAGGCTGCAGAAGAAGGTGGAAGAAGGGATGGAGAGGAAGCTAAGGGTGAAGAAGCCAAGGGTAGATAAGGAAGCTAAACTGGATCCTCAACTCAAGCACCTTCTCCCGGGATCATCCAGCAGGAGGGGACTTGTCACACTGCATGGGATGAAGAAGGCAGGCAGTGACATCACTTGTCGCAACGCTGATGAAAACACTCATGGACGTCAAAAGGCGGTCACAGCCGACCGGCCCTGGCTGGATGAAACCAGGTTGAAATCCTCAAATAATCAGGATTTGAAGATGCAGCACAAAGAAGCAACAGCATCACCCAAGGTCACAGGAAAGCAGGGAGCCGTTATAGCTTCTCACTCCATTCAGATAAGATCGGGCGGATCCACTGACCATTGCATCCCGGGGGCTAGTGTGCAAAAGAGACTGGGGGGCAGTGCCCAAGGGATACAGGAGGGCATGAGACTGCATGAGAGGCCAGAGCCTCAGGGTAGAGAAGCCCAAGAGCTTTCAGACTAACCTATATGAACTATAGCAACAAGCATGAGGACCCCAACATGATATAATCTTATAGTTGAAATTTAGTACAATTATCTTTGGTTTTCTTCACTGTAAAACTATTTAAATAATAAAAGCTGTGTAGAAATACTGTACCACTGTTAATACATTGATATTTTACTCTATGTTGTTAACAGGACAGACATACTATTCAATTTTAATTATATTCATTTTTTTTTAATATAGCATCTTTCTCAACACAGTGAGCCCGTGGCAAAACTGGCGCTAACAAGAGTGTGTGGCAAACCATTGCTACATCATTTATATAAAATGGTGCATAAAACAGGGAAAAGGGAAGACAGAAAGAATGCCAGAGGAGAACAGAGGAGAGGAACCCAAGAAAATCAACTGGCAGCCCAATTAAAGAATAAAGTAATAGGTCTTCAGTCAAGATTCAAGAACTGAGACAAATTCTGCATGATGAACATGAGCTGGCAAACCATTCCACCATATAGTGGCCCTGCAGCTAGAGGTTTTAGTGCCAATTGTTACAGTACCTTATGTATATGTGAGATGATAAGGAAGCCTGCATTCTGTGATCTGAATGTGCGATGCTGCTTTAGAACATGAATCAGGTCTGGTGGGTAGGCAGACACTCGATCTTTGAGTGCCTTTTGTGTAAGTAGAACTTTTGAAGTCACTTCTGAACCTAACAGGAAACCAGTGCAGGGAACTATGAGCAGGGGTTAGTAGCTTATTTACAAATCTTGTTTCCATGGAAACATTCAATAACAAAATTTTCACGAATTTTTATCTCATATTCAAAAAAGGCAAAAATGGCAGTTGATTGGCCTGATGTTCAGTTGATGTCCAGTTGCATAAAATGGAGTCCCAAGTTCTGGCAGAAAGATACCTACTGAGACTGACATTGTATGACACGGAGAACCTTCATTCTGTCTCAGGTTAGTTTATGGTGTACATAGATTTTTCCATATTGTAAGATTTCTAAAAATCTTGTCATTTTACCTTTGTATTGTGTTTGTACTGCCTTACAAAGGCAAGACAGTAACTATGCTGACACCAAAACTGAGAAAAAAGGCTTCAATGGGCTGTTTTGACTATCCAGCCCTATGTGTACTGTAGTAGGCAGGTAAATGCTACCGTTTTCTTCAAAACTGAGCATAGCTGAATTTGCACTTAAGACAGTGGTTCTCAAACTTCTTGTCTGGAGATCCTTAAAAAATGATAAAATTCTCCCCCAAGAAAATTCACCATTGTGGGTACTCGATGGCGAGATGTGCCAAACAGACAGGCAGCACTAGCCTACAATACCTAAGATACTCAACACTTTTATTGTTCTCTACTATTGTAGTTGCTGATAACCTTTGGCAAAAAAAAAAAATATTGTTAATCTGCTTAATTTTGGATTACTACTTTTTAGAACTCAACTCCAAAAAAGATTTAATATATTAATAAATTCCGTTTGTTTATAAATCTGTAACTATGACTAGCTGTGACTCATTCTTGACAAATATGCCTGGAAATCAATAAAAGATTAATGAATGTTTACAGAAACAGCAGGCAGCTTCAACGTCGATAAATATGGTTAACAAATATTGTCAGTCAAATGTTACTTCTATTTTTGTCCTTCAGATGGCTGCATGGATCTGTTGGTCCCCACTGAAACCATATCAGCACGGGTCACCAACCTTCAGGAGGCGGCCCTGACAATCCACAGCGTCGTCTCCCTGGCCCGCAGCCTCCCGTACTTGCACTGCCGTGTCATGGGCGACCCCTACAGGATGAGGCAGGTTTATCCCTCCTTTCTCCAAGTGGACATCCTGCCCCCTAATTACACACCCCCAGAAAGAAACACAAGCCTGCAGCTCCCTCATGCCACCCCCATGGATGTGACCTCAGAGGGTATCACGACCTCCCCCTCAGACTGGATGCAGTGTGACGGCTCATTTGTGCCACACTGCAGTGCCCCCTCAGGCGGAGAGTGGACCACTGTGAACTTCGGTGACCAGACCTGCTTCAGGTTCTGTGCCCCAGTCAGCTACATGGAGAATTATGCTGACATTGTGGGGAGATGCACGCTCACCGACTACACGGCCTATGGAGACTGCCTGTTCTCTGTGGTGGTGGACCTGCTCACCAAGGAGGAAGGTACTTAATTTTCAAGTGAACGGAGAGAAAAATACCAGATGATGCCAAAGACTTCCTGTGGAGAAAAACAAACATGACACATACTCCCTGAATCACTTTCTTTTTAATTTCCAAGGCATCGATAGGAATGGCAATTAATAGGAGGAAATGAAAAGAAGAATCTCTTAAGGAAAACAGTGTAGCAAAATGCTTTTTCTTCAGTTTTCAATGATCAAAAAAGATATTACAAGAGATTTTTGCCACTCTAAGTGAACTAACATTTTAAAATGTTTACATTTCAGTATGTCCTCATAAGGCCTCTGTTCATACCCTGCCACCAACCTTTCTACAGCAAAACAGTAGTTTTGGTCAATAGCTAGTAACAAAATAGAGCTTGTTTTACTATTGACTTTTGTGCATTTTGTGCAATTAGCTTTAATTTATAACAAACATAATCTATCAGTGGTTTAAAGAGCCGTTGTACTTTGCTACATGTATCAAATTTAGTATATTTTATCATAAGCAAAAGATTATTTTAAAGATAATTCTCATGGTAACTTAAGTATCATTTTGGGTCAATCATTGAGGGATTTAAAAACAATAATAGTAAAACCAACATTTAGATACATATACATCAATCTTCCATACCACTTACGCGGTACAGGGTCTTAGTGAACATTTAGATTTTTTTTCTTATTCATCTGGTTCTTCTGTAACGTGCCATCTTCATTTAAAAAAAAAAGAGGACAAGAATTACAGGAACTGACAGCACAAATTTAGTTTACAAAGAGATGAAATTCACGAAAGCCATAAGAATTATTTGTTAGTAAACAGTACCAATGTACATTAAATTACATCATATTTAATGACAATTCAAGCTTCTTTAGACTGGGTGTTAAACACGGTCTTAAACGCTGGAAGCGTTTCCCACTGTGGATTAAACACTGTGCAAAAGTCCTTTCTGTGAAATTATATAATGAAAATAAAAACCAAAGTCTTCTCAAAACATACATATGCATACATTTTACATTAGTGTTGAGGTTTTTCTTTTCCTTCAAGTGTGGAATGGTAGTGACCCATCAACTGAAACTTTTGTAGTGAAAACCTAAGGAATGTTCAGGCTATCCTCACATGCAGAGTACAGCAAATGTGTTTTCAAGCGACATTTCTTCTTATATTCTAGAAGATTATTTTCAGTGTCTTAGTATAGTGCCACCATAACTATTAATAATTATACTGGTTATGTTATGCTCTTTAGAGTCTGATTTAAACTGTCTGCATGATAATACTGCAATGCATGTTTCTAAAGTATACTGGTAGTGGGCAGAATGTAAACGCCAATGGAATATCAATTAGAGAGGTGCCAGACTTATGTGCAACTTAAACATAACGGGGTGAAACAGCACGGGACGTCATTAGGGTCCCACCTGTGGTACCTGTGGTACAGCAGCCATCCTTTCTGGCAGTCCATTACACATCTTGGAGCTGAGTAAAAGAGCAAGATCGTGGGCTGCCCCTATCACATCTGAACCTTAAGCCCACAAAACTGTACTTTGTGGTCGCACAGAGCTTCTGGACAAGATGACTGTCCTCAAAGAGGACGGCACCCTCACAGCAGAAAAGAGGATTGCGATGGTTTGTTTACGTACACGTACAGTAAGATTGTGCGTCCCCACCCACTTTGCGTCTAAGTGGAACTGAAGGATCAAAGTCCTTGAGCGTTCCTCCATTGCGTAGCAGAGCATTGGCCTACAGCTTGACTACCAAGATCTAACGGGCTGCATAGTAACAAGACCTCGGCATCCACTGTATGACGACCGGCTTTCGGTGAAGCTTAAACCATGACAAACACTGACCACAATCCAGGGGGCCCCGTTTAATACATGGTCCAGCCAGACTCACAGAACGTTGGGCAGGTAGAGTGAGCAGAGGAGCATGTTCTGACCCAGGGCCGGGAAACGGCGGAAAGCTTCCCAGGCGTCGGAGAAGATATTGTACTTAAGGAAGACCCTGTGCTCCAGACTGGTTGGCAGGCCCACGTCGCGGCTCATGATGTAGATGCCGTCGTTGTGAAGCGTGCACGTGAGGTTCAGGCCCGACTTGGAGGTGTTTTCCTTCAAGCAGAGCCACTCGCCTGTGGTCACATTGTAGGACTGCACAGTCAGCATGTCCTCCGTCTGGCTGACCCGCCGTCGGTCTGGCCCCAGCTCGTGGGTATACCCCTCTACCAGATAAATGGTATCTTCCACGGAGAGCATCTGCTGCTTGCGTACGTGGGCAGGGCAGGAGCGGAACACGGTCCAGTTGTCAGAGATAGGGCAGTACCGCAGCACGTTTGTGTTCCTGTCTATGGGAGAGAGAGGGAGAACGCTGATCTAGGCTGACACACATCAAGCCTTTGCCAAGACAAACCGCCAGCTTTGTCAGTTAATTATAGAAACGCTAGTTAAACTGCAGGGCAGATCTGTCCCCAGGTGCAGTCTGGAAAAGAATGATAGAATAAGAAAACATGGAACTGCTGTCAGCCATGAAACGCAAATCCTTCCTTCCTTTAGTCTTTAGTTCTAGGTTGCTTGGGCATACAGGGGCATCAGAAGGGCAGGGATACCCCAGCAGATTCAGGGGGCCCAGCACTTCACAGGGGCCCTTGAATACATAAAATTACACGTAAAAGTGGGCAGGGGGGGCCCATGGTGACATTGTGTCAGGAGAGCCTAGAATTTTTAGGTACACCCCTGGTTATTATTATGTCTTACGAAAGCTGACCAAGCAAACTTGACCCAGCAATACCTCTTTTTCTCATTTCTTAATATTTTGCTTTTAAGGCCTCTACTGCAAAGCACATACCAACCTCTGGCTGTGTAGCCACCCATGACATAGATTCTGTCCTGACACTCGCAGGCCGAGAACTCTGCCAGAGGGTTAGGCAAGGAGGAAACGCAGGTCCACCAGTCCTGTTCGGGACTGTAGCACTCCACAGTCCCCAAAGTCTGCCCCCCCACGGCATACAGCTTCCCGTTGACTGCTAGCAGCTTGAAATTGGACCTGAGAACAGCATCGAAAGGCAACACATCCATACTCTCATACAACACTTCACATAGAGTTATTCACTTAGGAGACTCCTTTCTCCACTTGTTTTGCAATTTACGCCCAACTCGGTTGAACTGCTAGAAATATCTCCAGACACTATTCCAGTTTCCCAGCCACAGTTCCTCCTATAACTTGTGCCAGTAAGTTATTGGTTCTGGGTTCACTGTACAGGATGCTGTGCCATTATGTCAATTTAATTATTACACCTGCAAACTAAACATAACTATTAACATGCTTAAGGGAGTTGCAGAATGCATTAAGTTCAATTTATATGCAGACTGTTAGTGGAGAGAAATGAGTTGACAATGGGAGAGGATTTTTTAACAGCAGGTACACCTTTCTGCTCTCAGATGCAATGGGAGTGGAAAACAGCACTGGATTTTTGGGAAGCTGTATCATACCTTTTCTGGTTCAGTGGTGCAACCTGATTCCACTCATTCCTGCAAGGGTTATAACAGTGGGCCGCCGAAATTTCCTGGCTCGTCACTCTGTAGCCTCCAACTATGAACAGATAGTTGTCCAGGACTGCAGACCCATATCCCCTGACGTTGACCATGTCTGACGGCAGGTTGTTGGCCAACGGTTTCCAGCGCTGTTCCAACTCTCCGTACCGGAGCATGGACCACGGCTCGTCCTGTTCTGCCAAGTCCAAGCAGGTGCCTATGAAGTCTCCGATCGCGACTAGGGTCGCGGTGCCTTTCATGCGCATCTCCCTCACCTGATTGCGCAAAGCGGCTGGCAGGTTGCGGAACTCGGATCTCCGCAACATGGGATGGTAGTGACAGCTCATGAACTTGAGACAGGCATTCCTTAAGTCGTGCGTCCCGTATATTTCCGAGAGGTTATACAGCTCTACGCAATTGTCCAACCTTATTTCCGACAGAAGCAGCTTCAAAATCGAAGTTACTTGTAGAAAGGAGGCCGTTTCAATCAAGTCTTCCAAAGTCTCGTTAGCGACCTGCACCTTCGAGGTATTGATGAACTCCAGGACCAGCTCCAACCCCGGGACACTAAGTCCCTGCAGCTGCACCGAGTCCTCCCCTGATTCCCGCATTCCGGAGCTGTACAAAGCGCGGAAGTAGTCGCTCTTTTCTATCAGCTTGCTTTTGCTCACATTGTACGTTTTGTCATCAATAGTGATGGCAATGATCTGCTCCGAGGATGACATTTTGGCGTCTAATTGCAAAGCCTATTTCGCTCTCTCATTCCTTTTTTTGCTACTTGAGCGTGCGCCAGGGTGCGGTGGCAGGAGATATCGTCACGAAGTTGGTGCTTGTGTCCTTCGTTTACATTTAAGACCAGGACAAGCCAGGAACCTCTCACAGCCAGAAACCAGGTCTATATAAGGTAATGTTCAGCCCATAGATCGACCGATAGTTTACAGCTATTCAGCCATTTGTTTTATATCTTAATTTATTAAATCAAGGGAACTGCAAAGTACAAACATGCTTAATTAACGCCCCCCAGTCTTTGCAGCATTCGAGTTCAAACGTGCAAAATTAACCGTAAACAGCTGAGTGCATCAAAATGATTGTCTTGGTGAAATTACAGCTAACATTCCATCACATCACGAAAACATCTTCAGCAAATGTAAATTAGTTCCTATTTTGATGCAGCAGCTGCTCCTTTATCACGTCACTTCTTCTTCCGTCTCCATGGCCGACGAAACCACAGAATTGGGATCTAGCACAAAAAAATAATTTTGATTCGTTTTACCATAAACCAATAGAAATGCACCTAACACAAAGCTGCGTTACCCCTTCTCCAAGAGAAAAACACCCAGGATGGAGTTGCGTTTTAACGTACAGACTAAATGTGTTAGTAAATATTACGGCTGTTCATTATCATCGATGCATTTTAACGTAATACACCATTACTTACATATCTATTTGCATGTATACATTTGAGTTAAACGACTTCATTTGAGACATAAATAGATATATGAATAAGAAAAAGGAACATAGATTTAGATAAATATTTAGCTGGATATTGTTCGCAGCAGGTACCTTTAAATGGTACCCCCTGTATAAATCATCCGGTTGGAAACCATTCTTCTTTTTTGATTAATTCGATAATGACACTTTCTAATCCAGATACATGTCGTTATTATTATTTTTATTAACGAGGTTTTATAAAGCTGATTTTAAAAATGTGTATAAATCATATAGAAACCATTATATAAACTGTCTTTCGAAACTGAATATTATTGTTTTGGGGACGTAAATTACCGACGGAACGAGCGCTTAGGTTCTAGTAGCGACATTTTTGAAATTTGAAATCGTCTTACAGGTTCGGCCGCAACTACAGGTTTCACTGTTACAAGCTTGTAATTTTTACACATATAACCAAATGGGAGACACGCCTTTGAGAGTGTAAGTCAGATCGCGTTCTTTGTGTTTTCGGCAATGAAATAGTAAAGTGGTTAATTAGCGAAGGTATTGCTAGTTAGCGTTAGCTTCTGTTAAATTACCTCCCGGTTAACGTTACACGTGTTTGGGCTGCAGCTTCATTTGACTACAAGCATTGCCCTTTTGTCTTATAAACAGGATGAAAGTATCCGGAGTCGGGACGCATTGTCCCTGAGTATAATAATTTAATGCGGTATTTTTGTCCCTTTCCAAAACCATGCTTGCTCAGTGTAGTTGGCTTTAAGGTCTGAACGCAGCGTATGTATGTCGAAAGAGGCTGAAAGTAAATAAAATAGAAGTAAATGCCAAAGGTTGGGCATGCTGAACACTCGAGTGTGATGAATAATCAGTTTGTCTGGTTGTAATAAAGAAAAGAGGTCGCATTAAACTCCTAAGCTTAATATCTCGGTTTTAATAACAACAAGGTCCTATGTCTCGCTCTTTGGTTAATGCTGAAATGTAAATTTAAGCGCATATCTATAACGCATGTTCATCTCTATAGTTTCCAAAGTATTGGGTCAGTCCAGTCATTCAAGTACATGACAGTATATCAGTTTTATGTATTTTTGTGTCTTATACTTTATTAATCCCGAAGAAAGTTGTAAGTTTACAGTAGCGCAATATAGGCATCCAGTTTGGCATGGATAGTCTAAAAATAAAAATGTACACTTTAAATGGTAAACTTGTATTTGATATAGTTCACCTATAAAATATTATATTGCCATGGGTACATTTGTATAAAAAATAATAATTCTACATCTTGAAAGTTTGGAATTTAAATAATCTTTATTATAAATTAATTTCAGCCTGACCTGTGGGGACGTTGAAGGAAAAATTAATGTTTTATTTAACCGAGTGAAAGCGATCCAGAAAAAAAGTGGGCAATTTGACGTAAGTATGTCATCTTTAAGTGGCAAAAGTCTGGCGGCCTTAATGTCGTGTAAAATGTCTAATTTGTTTTCTCTGTTGTGAAGCTGTTGCTTTGCGTTGGAGAATTTTTTGCTTCTTCAGCGGAGGCGGAAGCTGAATGGGAGGAGTACAAGTCCGGAGCAAAGAAAGGTAATACAGCAGAAAGGGGAGTTTCATTTTTTAGGCACGGCATCAGCCGCAATGTTAATAACTGTAAGGGCCAGAACAAGGCTATGGCTTTCTCAAAAAACATTTCTGACTGAAAGTTCCTTTGTTTTTTGTCCAGCCCCCCAAGGCAGAGATGTGACACCATTTGAATCATGCTCTTTCTCTTCTGTGTCAAACTCTAGCACCCATTCACACATACGTTTTGGGGGCAGCCAACCAAGACACACTGAAGTATTTTCCCAATTCAGATGGGTGTGAGCTGGCTGAGAATATCACCTATCTGGGTATGTCCTAAGTGAATAATTTTGAGATTCCTATTGTACATGGCTTTAAAAGCATATATTCCAAAATGTCACTAAAAGAGCATGGTGGTAATTTGTTTCTTAATTCTTTGATTCTTTTGATCTTTCCAAAAGCTGCAGTCTTTGATGCCGTAAATGTTTTGACATTTGGCCAATAGGGGGCATCTGTTTGTCTCAGGTCGCAGGGGCATCTTTACCGGCGCCACGGGCCTGCAGATCGCTTACATCAGCGGTAGGGAAGGGCAGCAGGAACCGGCTCCGGCTCACTGCTTCACACCCAAGGATGTCACTGCCCTGGTGGCCCCACTGGTGTCCACTTCGAGTTTCAAAGGAGTGGACATCTTGCTTACCTCGCAGTGGCCACGCGGCGTCTGGCAATATGGAAATAACCCAGTAATCGTTTATCCACCCGTCTTCCAACTTCCTATCCTTCTTAAAGTTGGGGGGGGGGGTCACTCTGACGTTCTGCCATAGGATGCATACACTCATATGCTCCGCTCCACACTTTGGGTGATTTAGAGATGCCGGTTATTCTAAAAGCTACAATAAATATCCATCATGCTAGTTTTTAAAAATCCTCCATATTACGATTTCACCCACATTGAATCTGTCGATGAATTTTAAGTTGTATGTGTTTTCTAGCCCAGCACAAAGTTTTTACTGTATATTTACTGTGTATAATTGTTGCACAATGACGCTGTCATTGACTGCATGTCTAAATAGCAATACAAGCCTCCTCTGTCTTGGAATCACTTCCTGTCTTCATTAATTAAAGCAGTGGACACTGATCGTTATTTGGCAGTGAACCGCGCCATGTTTCGCTGTGTCCTGATAGCCCGACTCTTTGTAGGATATCAACACCAAGTCTTGCGGATCTCCATCACTGGCCAGCGCCGCGGACAAGCTGAGGCCGCGGTACCACTTTGCTGGCCTGGAGGGGGCGCACTACGAGCGACTGCCATACAGGTGTGTGTGCTTCTAACCCTGATACTGCAGAGGGCAGTGCTGAGTGCTCTCTGCCAGTTAAATACTGGGCATGTGGGGACTCCTGGGAGAGAAAGCATGTACCTGGGGGGTCCAGCTTACAAGATTCAGGGCTACCCCACCCCCACATTTCACAACCCCCTGGACCTCTGACACAATTCGAACCCTGACTTTTTGTAATTGTTTTTTTTTTTCTTCCACACTTCCATCACGTTTGCGTAAAGATAATCTGAATGTCTCCCATTTCCCTGTAGTAACGAAACATAAAGTTTCGAAAATTGTTGGTGTAAATTATATTTTAAATTTTGTCGCCTTTCAAGCAAGTTTTTTTTTTCTTTCTTTCTTTATTATTATTATTATTAAATGGAGGTTTATTTTCACTCATAATGCTAATTTCCCAAGGCTCATTTTGCGAACACCTTTAAGCCCTATTATTCAAATCACGGTCCTCGAGGTCCGGGCACTGGACCTTTCTTTACCTGTCAGTCAGGTGTGAAGCCTCTGACCAATCAGAATCAGTACTTATTAAGCTAACTACCTGGGAGAACTGAAAACGAGGCCTGGATTTGGAATCGAGGTCCAGATTTGAAGAACCCTGCCTTAAAGCAATGGAGCACTGACCAGTCCCAGTAGCTTTGTATGCTGTTAATACCAGGGCTGAACACCGCTGTTAGGATGCCCTACTGATGCCTGCTGCATGTATGTCCCTGAGTCTGACGTTGACCATCCCCCCCCCCCCCCCCTGCTGTGCTGTGATTGGATGGTGGCAGGAATCACATGGTCCTGCAGGAAAATGCTCGGCACGTCAGCCGGTTCATAGCCCTGGCCGGCGTCAATAACCCTGCCAAGAAGAAGGTGAGGGGTCGTTACGGTTTCAATTTCACGAGGCGGCAGTAGAGCCTTCATATGTGCTTTGCTGCTTTTTAATATGCACGTATATATTTATCGTGTGTTTTTTTTTTTTTTTTTTATTCCCATAGTACTTGTATGCATTCAGCATTGTCCCTTTGAAAGGCATGGACCCAGCAGAGCTAGTGAAGCAGCCACAAGATGTCACTGAGAACCCTTACAGGAGGCCTGCCAAAGGCGGGCAGAAGGAATGGCCTGCTGCCACGGCAACGGCGGAGGTGGCTGCATCGGGCCCTTATTGCTGTGTTTCATTACAGGCTGATAATGAATGGGATTTGGATCAGTCAACTTAGACAGTGAACTGGAGGATTTCTGATCCGTGCACATCCTTAGGTTCCTTTTTCATTTGCATGCAGTATTCAGATTTTCTCAGAAGTCAGAAACGAATTTGTCATCATCCTGCTACACTTTATAAATCACCTTATAAATCTCTCCAGATTGCTTAAATCAGAGCAGAACTGATCTTTTAAATAGTATATTTATTTTTATCTTCAGCGTTGTCGCAGAAATTGCCCATAGATAAGGCTCTATGCATAGTTCTCTCTTAATATTTAAACGGGAAACCTCTTCAGATTTCCTGGCACAGTCAGCATTACGTAATCGCGAAGGGTCTGGTGGTATAGGCGTTTCTGCTTCATACCACTAGGTGGCGCAGAGATCAGTATGTCGCTTAACGATCCACTTTACGTGACTTCACAGGTGGAGGAGGAGCCTGCAACTCAGTTTTTCTTCGACTTGGGGAAGAAATCCCAAACT